ATCGGCCGCTGAGGGTGAGCCATCAGTGGCCGGGAGGAATCCTCCCGGCCGTTGCGGGCTATTTTTGGTAAGCGACACCCAAAACCCCAGTGGGTTTTGGGACGTCGACCCCCAACTCCTTCGGGGGTTGGCCTTTTTTTTTATTAAAATTACTAGCTTTTCGACTCCCAAACCCGCTGACGGGTTTGGGGGATTGACTCCCATTCCTCGGGGATTTCGGTGGAAATTCCGGGGGTTTCGGGGTTTGGGAGTCGATCCTCCACTTTTTGGGAGTCGATTAGCTAAGACCCTAAAAAAATAATGTTCCAATATCCTTTGTCTTATCTTTAATAACACCTTTCAAACTCCATCAGTTCCTTTTTGAGGTTAACATGATAAATCTCTTTCTTTCCCCATTTGAAAGTATCCAAATTGGATGAAAAAAATGTATCAATAAACTAACCAGAACAAAAAAAAGTCAATATAACTGAGGGGGCGCAGTGAGTTGTAGTGATAATGTTGGGGTTCACACTACTCTAGCATTTTTTGCTTCTCACACCTGTTATTTATTTTTCTTGCTTGTTCATCAATGCTGATGTTAATTTTCTGAGCAAGATTTTGAAATTCTGTGCTAAATTTGAAGTCTGCAGCAGTGCTGCGGTTTCTTGTGCAAGAAGAAATTGCTTCTTGCAAGAAGCTATCATGAGCCCCGCTAATAGAACAACATCCCCTCAGTCCCTTGAGCAGATTATACCACTGGTATTTGTTGGCACAAACAAAGTGTAATTTGTAAACATACCTTTCATAGCTACTGAAGAGTCCTAAAAGTGGGGTTGTCAAAAAAGATGATGAATGAGGAATATCCTTGGGCCTTCCTCATCTGGTGCATTTAGATGCTCAGATGTTGTGCAAGGAGTTTCTTGGGAGAGGGCCCAGATTCTGAGGAGCAGTAGAGTCCTGCCGGAGGGGGATGAAAAAGGAGCATCAAATGTTAGACCAAGCCAACCAAGCCTGCCTGCAACAGCCAACTGTTGAGAGGGCATTTCGTGCACTTTTGAGGCCCAGTAGGGCAGAGACAGCCATTGGAGAGGGACAGAGAACAAGCAACAGACCTTCAGGCTGGGTAGTCTTCAAGCTTAGCATCAGGTCTCTGTTGATCTGCTACTATCATCATTAAAGGCTTGCATGATTACACTTGAGGTTGTTTTGGAATACACACAAGGCAATCCTTAGCCAATAATCACCAGAAGCTAATAGCTATTGTTTGGCAGTATTTTGTAAGCAGTCTGGCTCCTCAGATGAACATTAGGCCATGGCTATCTGCTGAGATGATGTATTTTGCAAGCTGTCTGCCTAAGCTTGGTCTTGGATTGGAGCTTTGGCAAACAGAGCACTCCCTGTTGGATCTGGGACCCTCACTGACACACAGATGTTGATTCAGACCCCAAAAAAATCTAGAATTTTGCTGGGAAATCTAGCTTTTGAGGCTCTAAATTGCTTTTGGGAGACCCACAGATATTGGTGGACTTGCCGTCAGATTGCTAGTTACCTTATGAGATTTTGGGAAGACTCTTGAATTACTCAGGGAGCCTTCTTGAACCAGCCAGTGTCTCCTGACCCGACCTCCCCAGCTTGTTTTAAATTTCCAGTAACCTCTCCTCCACTCCCTGACCTTATTAAGTTCTTACTTTCTTTTTCATCTTTCTTTCAACAACACCTCAACTATCTAAATGTAAACACATAGATACCCATAAGTCAACAACTCTACACTTACAATTCGAGTCGGAAGACTTATAACCAGTCAAGAAGAAGAAGAAGAAGAAAACCAAACCAGCAACGAAAAGTAAAGAAAAAAACAAAAACATGGTATATGTATGTAGATGTGTATCTATCAAAGTGTGAGGATTATGTGTGTTTGATAAGATAGATCTGAAGATAGATGACCAAGAGAGCAACCCAGTTTACAGGAATACAAATAAAGATAATTTAGAGAGAGAGAGAGAGAGAGAGAGAGGATGAGAACCACAAGAGTGCATGTATGTATGGATCTGTATGAGAGAGAGAGAGAGAGAGAGAGAGCGATAGACAGATAGATGGACAGAACAGAAGAGATAGTGGAGAGATCATATCAATCAATCTTCAACAGCCTCGCCTTCGTCCCAAGTATGGCCCGAAAACCGGTCCATCCGAGCCGGACACTCCTCCTCCATTGTCGTCGCCCTCCTAATCCCAACCAACCAACAAGATCAGTATCTCCAGAATCAAACAGAAACATAAATGGGCAGAAACAAAGAGAGAAAGCGGGGGGGGGGGGGTAAAAAAACGCACAAGAGAGAATGGTTGAGATGGTGGTGGTGTTGCTTGATGAACTCATCATGTTCGCGATCCATGGCTTCTTTCAATGCTTTGCCTTTGACTCCCAGTCCGATCACAGGCTCACGATGATTGATGATTCTTGAGGCATTAGTATTCGCATTCACATTGGTATTCGTATTGGTATTCATATCCGTGTTCTTGTGAGTATTGGTATTAGTATTGGTATTAAGATCGATAGCGGTAATCGATGACGAAGAAGAAGAGTTGTCGATCGCCAGTGTAAGCTGAGAATCGCTCTTTGGATTAGGAGGAAGAACATGATGATCGATGATAGTAGCAAGGCTTTGTCGACAATCGAAGGTATGACTCGAGGGTGGTGAGAGGTTAGATGGACAAGAAGCAGAAGTCGGAGCGGCGGAAGAAGAAGAAGCAGACGGCGGTGGGGGAGGAGAGGATGATGATGGTCCTCCAGCGGACTGATCGATCGGGGGCCATTCAGTATGACAAGTGCTTCCATTCCTGCTCCCTTTCCGATGATGATGGTGTTGTTGTTGATGATGGTGGTGGTGGTGATGGTGGTGAGAGTGAGGATGGGAGTGGGGATGTACTTGGGAGCTACGCGAAGGACGCATGGGGACAGAGCGGGGCAAGTGGTTTCGGCGTTTCTCCTCGTTGAGTTTGTGAGAGAGGGCGAGTTTGAAGGCGTGTTCGGCACAGGCCTTACAGGGGTAGTAGCGGAGGGTATTAGTCTGACCATGGCGGAGGGAGCCGGCAAGACCGGGACTGGGGATGTAGTGTTGGTCGAACGAGGGGACCGAGTTGGCGAGCGAGCGTTGATCAATCCCGAACGGCCGGCTTGGCGAGCCCACGGCCGATAGAGTCGGCCATCTCAAACTGCCCATCTTCGACGGCAAGGCGGGTGAGGCGACTTCATGGCCAGACCCACCCTGCTCCGATGGCGGTGACGATAGCGTAAAGGGTACCGGCGGAAGTCTTGACAGCTGTGGATTGTTGAGGATGTTGACTGGATGGGCTGAGTTGAGCAACTCGTGTGACAGGCAGCCGTCCGGTAACGATAGGAGACGGGGCAGCCTTCGATCTAATAAATCGTCCAGCCAGCTGGGCAGATCATCGCTGAGACTTTTGGCAGCCAGTTTGGAGTGTAAGGGAACGCTAGAGGAGGAAGTAGGTGGAGCAGTAGGATGTGAGCCCGATGGTGGCGACTGAGGCTGATTATCAGGATGGTCTAGAGGACAGAGTTCGTGAGATAACTGTGACTTGGAAACTCGTCGACTGGAGTCACGGGTGGTAGTCGAAGAAGCACTGGAGTTGGAACTGGGACAGCTAGTGCAAGCACGACGAGGAGGGTTTGAAGAATTCAGCTCGACATGGTGTTCGGACCAGCCCCATTCGGTTGTCTCTCGCAGTTGGGCATGGGCGTATTCTACCGGGTCGACAAGCCAGACAATCGGATTGATCGCTCGAAACTCCGCAGACTCCTCTTCGATCGTTCCCAAGATCTCCGTGAATTGCCGAGAGTGTAGTAAGGCCAACAGCTGATGACCCACCTAACAAATGAGAAATTGCTGAATGTTAATGGGTTTTTTGTTTGATGTGTGCAATCCTAATTAAATGTGAGGGATGATGAGACGAACCTCTAAGGCTTGAGACAGAGCGACTTCGACGGGAGACCAATTGATGATGACTGGTTGAGATTGGATGTCTGCGCTGGTCTCGAGATCATTGGCGATCTCGAACCTAATCAGATCGGCGCCACCCTTAGCCCATTTGTACAGGCCATCGGTGCCCTCGTGAGGCTGAAACCAAACTCTTGCCACATAGACTTGGTTGGTCGATTGGCCATAGGACGACGATAAGCCCAGATGATGTTGATTTTGATTGTTCTGGTTGCGATTGAGGGTGGCTGATGATTTGGATCTGTTCTTGATTAGGAGTTCCTTGACTTGTCTGAGTAGCTCGGCCAGTGGAGTGGATGGGCCGTAGACCAGCAATCGATCAGGGGTGCAGTCGAGATGGTCCTCGATATCGTATGCGGCATGCAATCGTTCGGCCTCGGGTGCGGGCAGGTCGGCCAGCTCGTCGGTTCTCAGCCTGTCGTTCGACTCGATCACTGGGCCGCCCGATGAAGAGGGGTCGTCGTTGTAGATCGACCAGACTGGTGTTGGTGGTTTGAGTTCGTTGACCAGATGGGCTAGATGGAGGTCATCGAGTGGTGCTAGACAGTGGGCAGCAGCAATGATGTCATGTGGTAGGGTGGGGATGGTCTGCTGGTTCTGGGTTGAGGCTGAGAGTGTTGTTCTTGGTGAGAGGGGTGGCGAGTAGTTGTTGTTGGTCATGGTCATCGATCGGCCTGATGGTGATGGTTGGTCCCAAGTTAGTGGGATGGATGACTGCTGGGGTTGCCAGCTATTTATCTGTCCCCCTGTTTGTAACACCTCAATCCCATCATCCATCAACCTGGCACATACACAAAAAAAAGCTACGTACTCCGGATCAAAAACACAGAATTTAACAACAAACTCATCTATGCAACTACAAGCTTGAACGAGAGACAAACAACAAAGAAACTGTAACACTGAAACATTGATCTATCTACCACAAAACAAAACCAATCGAAGATATGTAGATGGAAAGAAAAAGAAAATGGAGAAGTATGACTGCGTGTTTATTTATTTCTATTTCTTTCTTCAGTTTTGCATAGCAATCCAGGCTTCATTCAACACAGCAAAGACCGACTTCGCAATCATTTGCTGAGCAACTGTAGCATCCTTAGGAATCTAATGCCAAAAAAAACAAAAAACAGCAAGCATATGTCTGATTAGTCCTTCTCCAGTTGTTTTTTGTTGCGGGAGAGAGAGAGAGAGAGTTGATATCAAGATAAAAGAAATCACTGAACTTTATCAGGATGAACTTTAGAGATAGCCCTAACGTATTTAACTTTAACCTGAGACTCAGTCAGGAGTTCAGCCATCGAGACTTTCTTCCAATTGAGTTGATCCCAGAGTACTGAATCAAGACTAGCGATCAACGCCCTCAAGTTATTCTCCTTCCCGTTCTTCCAAGCCCCGATCCGCTCATCCACGGCATCCTTAGCATCCAGTTTTTGCGCCTCCTCCAACTCGATCTTCTCGTTAGCGATCTTGAGTCTTTGGACGGCCTCCGAGGCTCGTTGTTCGCCGATCCGTTGAGCCGCCCTCTTCGTCGTCTCGCCCGTCCCACCGAGCTTCGGCTTCGATCCACTCACACTTGCCATCGAGCCGGGCGAGATAGAGGGCTTGCTCACAGCCTGCGAACATCGACCCAGACTCTCGCTCACCATCTTCATCCCACCCGCACCCTTCATCACGCCCCCACCCAACCTTCGACAGTTCTCCCAATCGACCTTCGCCTCCTCCCATCGTTCAGCCTCCTCACTAATCCGGGCCCGTTTGCTCAACGCTTTTCCCACTTGTTCGGGTAGGTTGAGGCTCTGCTTCAACTCGACCGGCAGCCGGCTCTGGTTCCATTCTAGTCGCTCGCTCAGTTCCGATAGGGGTTTATCCAGTTGACTGTCTTCGCAAAACAACACTTCAATCACTCGGTCTACATCGCTCCTCGCCCCTTTGCCATCCCCATTCTTGAGCCGAGCAGCAGCCCGGTTATTAAATAGTGACAGACTCCCAAAGTAAACGTTCTGTGGACTGGCCAGGCTTGTTGGATCTTGTAAGACATCCAGCGCTTGGGTGTAAGCTGCTTCAGCGCTGCCATATTGACCTTGCTTGAAGAATTCATTGCCTTTGACTCGATAAACTTCAGATTGCTTGACCTGTTGCGCGCTGACTGTGACGGCAGGCCAGCTTGGGAAATTGCGGCGTGGGGTAGTTTGAGCGGGTGGCGGTTTTGAGCTTGCAGATTGCGATGTCGGTGCATTAGAAGAAGGAGTCGGGCGAGGATCTGAAGAGAAAAGCAGTTCACCAGTGCTGGGTTTCCGGACAGGCTGTCCCTCTCCAGCTCCATTAGGGCGCATGATTCTTTCGGCTACTTGTCGCCGTGCCGACGAGACATATGGTTTTCGGGAGCTCGAACTGTTTTCCTTAGAGGTAGAGGAGACAGGTGGACCTTGATCGAGTTTTCTCGGCGAAGAATCATCGGAAAAGGGAGTTAAAGATGAGCCTCGTTTATTATCATCCTCGCCTTTTTGACATTGTGCTTGAGCGTCTCTCATCCACTTCGGCTTGAGAGCATCCCCATCCTTAGAAGCACTAACATTACTGGTACCCGTTTGGTCTTCGATCACCTTCGTCAGGGATGCTTTCCCTTGTTTCCAGAATGAAGCCGCTTTACCGAGCGCTGTCGTACCGTAGGCTGATGCTTGTGCCAAGAGCTCGGCAGCTTGATCTTGTATCTCCTTGGCGTTGACGGCTGCGAGGGCCGTGGTCAATTCTGACTTTGCCTGCCCGTTCTCTTGTGCTGGATGATTTTGGGATGGCGGTCCACGTGGCTTGCGTTGGGGCTCTGAGTGTGGTGGTGAGCTAAGAACATTCTCTTCACGGCTTGCCGGCTGAGTTTGAGCACCCAAGAGGCTCTCGACCGCAGACGAGACGTCCCAGTCGCCTGTCTTTTGATTCCTGGTATGGATCAACGCCTGGCGTGAACGAGCAGGAGAGAAGCCTATCTCGACCACTTGGCCAAGGATGTGAGGGGGTGGAGAATCGGCTCGGCCAACAGACGGTTTTGATGGCCGTTGTTGAACGTTTCGAGTGCTCGGTCCAGCCTGAGACGATTGATGTAAGAGTTCATTGGCCTGTTGTTTGATGCGATCAGCATGGACTTGATCGATTGGTGCCCCGAGTAAACCCAGAATATCATCACCAGAAGACGTTGGTTCATCGGTTAGAGCGATCGAACCAAACGCTCTATCGGGTGCCTCGACCGGGCCAAATTCATCCCCCAAGAGAGAATCGGCCATATGATCAGGCGGGACCGATCCATTCTGATGGGAGGTGACGTGTGAGGGTTTATCGGATGTCTGATCGAAATCCGAAAGGGGATCTATTCCCCAACTGTCTTTCCTCTTGGTGGTTGATTGGGAGTGAGTTGAGTGCGGCTGAGCAACTGATGACGAAGGATGTTGTGGGTTTTTGGGCTGTTCCAATAAATCGAAATCCCAAGATTCGGATGAGTTGCGTGAGATGGGTTGATGATTCTGAAGGGCAAGTGACGTAGTGGGGTGTGAGGCCAAGGGAGAAACCGATCGCCTGAGGCAATTAGAGTGATGTCAGCTATGCAGGCCTTAAAATGAATCAGAGATTCAGCAATCGACGCACGCTCCTGGATGGATAGAGTTTGGAGTGTAGCTAGCGGATTGTGGATATGCTGAATTGGTGGAAGCCGAGCTCAGCTGGCGATGTAAATTCTGGTTCTGTGCGGCTTGAAGTCTTTCTGCTATTGTCATTTGAGAGGTGGCGGTGGACTTTTGTTGAGACGAGCTTGAGGGTTTCTCTCCAAAGATTGAGCTGAAGGCATCCTGAGAGTTATTTGATGATAATCCTGGGGATGGTCTGTGGTTGCTGTTAGTGGATGGGGAGATAGTTCGTGAGATCGGATGATGGGATGGTGATGCTGATGAGGATCTGGCGATAGAAGCAGAAAGGTAATCAAAGGATGAGGCTCCCTTCCGATTGGCTGAGTTGTTGATCGATGGTTTGTTGATCGGAGGTGCAAGGGTGAAGGTCAGATCGGCGATGTCGTCCATGGCTGATGATGGTTGTTTGGATTTCGTTGTTGAAGTTTGCAAGTTGACTGTAAGTTGTTGAGATGGTTGTTGAGATGGTCAAGGACTCAAGACTCACTAGGATGGTGTGGTCAACACTGGGTGACGTAGTGACAGCACCCACATAACACCCGGGGGAATCCTCGGGGAGATGAGACCTGTCTCAGATTATGTAATGACTCGCCTCAACCTGACAAGTTGGCTCAATGTTTTTAAGATGAAAACTTCCTCATCAGAGCCACTTCCAGAGTAAAAGACGCTGTCAATCTGAAAGCTTTTAAGTTTCTGTAAATGCTGGAGCTCTTCTGCTTTGGATTCACGCCTGGTTGGACCGCTGAAGTGGCACGCAAGCTCACGAAAGTCCGGAACTGTCATTCCGGATCGGAGCACCACTATGCACATATCCGATACGGCCTGTCCTCCTTACGTAGTTTCGGGGGCCGGCTAGGGGGCAGTTGTTTAAATAGCCCCCGTCACCCCCGGGGTCGATGAAACAGCCCCCTCCTCCCAGCTTCCTGCTGCATTTGTGTTCCCAGACTAACCAGTGTCATCCACCCTCCACCACAACAAAAAGCTGATCATCACTCCAGTCAACCAAAAATCGACCGATTGCCATCATGAAAGTCCTCTCGATCCAAATCCTGGCCGTCCAAAAACCACACCAGCCTCCAGGTTGGTCCTTCCCTCCCTCTTATCATCATCCCCCCAACATTCGCATTCTGACCGTTTTGTTCCCGCTCTTGATCGCCTCCTTTTTCTAGCAATCCCGGTCGCTCAAGCCTCCGATTTGTCGTCCTTTAGCTTTCTTCAACGTGGAAGGTACTGGTCCATTCCTCTTTTTTCAGAATCCTGGAATCTTTCAGACAGATAAATCTGTCATATCCAAAAATGCGTCCAAGCTTTGTCTGACAAATGATTTACTAAATGACACTTGTAGTATCGGTGAATTCCTGAATTTCTTTGCGAAAACAGTCGCCGAGCGAACCGCATCAGGGCAACGCCAATCGGTCCAAGAGAATAACTACACAGCGCATGCCTATCTTCGGCCGGCGGAGAACCTGATAGGGATCATCATCACCGACGACGAATATCCGGTCCGGGTAGCATTCTCATTATTGAACAAGTTACTGGACGAATTCACAACTAAGATCCCTGAATCCAAATGGAAATCGGCTGTCAACAATCCCTCCTCTCCTCCCAACCTCGGTTTCACTGCCGTCGATGAGTATTTGGTTAAGTATCAAGACCCTAAACAGGCTGATACTATCCTGAAAGTCCAACAAGAATTAGATGAAACCAAGATCGTACTTGTATGTCAATCTTGATTGGCTCTTATTCCCTCATTCTTTAGCCAATGTTATATTCAATTGACTTACTAATATTTTTCTTTTCTCCCTTCATTTGTGGGCCCATTAGCACAAAACGATTGAGTCTGTGTTGGAGAGAGGGGAGAAATTGGATAGCTTGGTCGAGCGTTCAAATGCATTGAGCAGCCAATCAAAAATGTTTTACAAGACCGCCAAAAAGCAAAACGTATGTCTGCTTGAGTTTATCAAACGACCTGTGACCAATAATTCATGAAAAAATCGCATACTGACGAAAATTTTTCATTTGAATTACTTAGTCATGTTGTCTGATTGTCTAGACCACTCCATGCGACTATCACTACAGTTAACAAGAAGAAGGAAGTGTTGTTTTTTGTTTTCTGAAATCATTTTTCTTCTTCTTTTTATTTGTTCTGTCAGTGGGCCAGTTACAGCAAGATCTTTCAAACGCATCTTCTTCTTTCCCTGTCTTTCGGAGTGATTTCGAATCTTCGATGTTGTATTGCTTTTCAACTCATTCCACAATAAAATCATCCTCTGCTTAAAGCTTTCTAGGCGTCTAAAAGACCAGCAATACGGATCGTTCCACAGTAATGCTCCAAGATATCATCAATATTACTGTGAAAGACACTGGACCAAAACAATTCTCACACATTTTGGAGTATAATCACCTGCAAGGATTCTAGGTTGTGGGATCAAGACCACACTCCTGTGCCAAAGATTAAATGAGATCAAGGCTTATGAATGGATCAGTTGTTGGTGATTGCCATAAGGTTAATCAGGGGTAGACTTGTGTGATGCACTAATGTTCAGATCATCATTTCCTTCAAGTTGTGCCAGAGAAATATCAACTTATAAGAGAGACAAGAAAAACTGTTATGGCTAAAGGTCTTTGAATAGCAAGGTTTGGTCCTAACTTATTCAAGTCCCTGTATTTTTGGAGGTGGGATGTAGTCTCACAGAAACCCTCCAAATGGTGGGAAATCTTCAGTTTTAGCCCTCCCAACTTGCAGATATTCACTCAACACTTGATAAAGAAAACATGCACTGCATAGCTATCTCCTGCATCTACTACCCTCAAGTGATATGTTAAAAGGTACTCAACCCCTTCAAAACTCATTATAATTATGATTTCATGCCCCATTTGCATCTTGCAATGATCAATTTGAGTGCGCAGGCATGAAGACGGGGAAGATGGGGGCCATGAACCCCACCTTGACCCCAGTGACAGGTCGCCCGAGAGTTTGTTCTTTTATTGTATTTTTTATTAGGCTGGAAACCATGTCAAGTGAGAGTTTGTTCTTTTATTGTATTTTTTATTAGGCTGGAAATCAACACCACATACATTACTCAACATACATGAGCAGCTATTGGTACCAATCTAGAATGTTTGTTGAAAGGTGAGGCTTGTTCTTGACAAAAAAAACTGTTGCAAGACATGTGCTTGCATTACTAATGCAGTTCAAGTTGGTAGAAACCTAACTTTCTTTCAATCTAGAAGGAAACTCCACATGTTTGAAGAAAAGAGGCTTGGCTATGAATGCTTGCAAATTACCACACAGAAGCTTGAAGGGATTTTCAATTCAGGATGATTCATAAAATTATGGAAAGAAAATATGTGAACAACAAAAAGCTTCAAACTCTCATAATTATACATAGCCGACAATATACGAAAGGTGGCGCTTCAAAAAAGTGATTTGCCTGGGGAGAAGATCGATCTTTTGAGAGCTGCAGAATTGCAGACTCTAACAGCTGACGTAGGAATAGTCAAGCACATCATGTGAGCGAGAGAGAAAGGATTAATGAGCAAGATGGTACCAGGTGGTCTCTAAAAGTGAGGAATCGTGGGGGTATCAAGAAATCGGTCTGGTTAGTGATTGTATGTGTTGATATATTATGGGTGAAGTAATCCGAAAGTCAAGACTTGCTTCATCTCTTTTCCTTGACGCGTGTTTCATTAAGCCGTTGGTGCGTTTTTTAGCTTCGTCATCTTCTCTTGGAACCATGGACAATCTATCTGCGGGAAGGAAGCCACCATTTTAACGATTTTAGCGCGTTCATATCGAGATATCAAGATCATAAAGAGATCGAAAGAAAATCTACCATTGTTGGCGTTGAGGGCTCGTTCGAAGATGGCCGGCGAAGGAATCTTAAGTGAAGTCTTTGTGAATCCAATGTCCAAGGGATAAGGTAAGACAAATTGGACAGAGTAGAGTGCGAGGAGCATAGAGCTCACAATGACCTACCTCTAAGTGAATTTGAAGAAAAAAACAGGTCATGTGAAATTTATAAAGATGAAAGGAGATCAAAGATGGGAGTCTGTTTGAATGAAAGCGGCGCAGACAGAAGCCAAAGAAAAGGTTAGAAGACTGAGCAGGATGAGGAAAGCAGAAGCTAGAGAACAGACGAGAATTCAAGTCGGGTTGTCTTTGGGGTCTACTTCAAGGAAGAAGCGGATGTGGAAGTTCGACCCCTTGAGAGCAAAGAGCCTGATTCCCTTAGGGGTGAAGCGGTATTGGTGGGAGGCGCTGGCAGTGAGGTAGGGGAACTGGCGAGCCTGAGCAAGCTCGATGAGGATGCATTGTTTGGGGAGGCATGGGGTGGCGCCGAAGAGGAGGGCCTTGGCCGGTCTTGGGCCGGGGTGGGCTAGGGGAGATGAAAGTGGGGGGGCATGGGAGTGGGCCATGGTTAGTAAACTGGTGGAGTGGATGGTGTGTTGGCAGGAGATGAGGGGAGGAAAGAGGAACTCATTGACGGTCTTTTATATTCAGCACCCAAGGGCTCAGCGACATTGAGAGCAGCGCCAACGGCTCAGAAGGATTACAATCCCTAAGCAGCATTCCAGCTCCACTGAGCCTGGAGCCTTTGTCGATAAATTTGTGTAACGCCAAGCTCAGCAAACAAGAAAGGCGCGGTGACGGAGCCGTATTTGTTCAGCACTTGACTGCCTGAGCTTGGGTGCATCATGGTACAGATCTGAGCATTCCGTTCGAATGCTCAAATGTTTATGTCCATCAGGCCTGACCTCATCACCCGGTAGCACCTGCAAACCCCATCACTTCCTGGGCCTCTTTTATGTCTCAAATAATCATCCATCACAGTCTTTAGATGTCGAGTAAGGTAAGGCGTAGCTCAATCCAGCTCATCCGAAACACCACACACATCTTGAAAGCAGCTATATTTATAGGTAGCTATAAAACTCATTCATGCTGTAAACAAAATTAATTTGGAGGAGGCATTGATTGCACGAATAAATCCTAGAAAAAGATTATCTATCACCACTCCATCTGGCCAGTGACCAGTCAGACCTCAGTTAATGAGGACGACCTTCAGCACTCGATCGAGATAATTGAATAGACATGTCAAAGTCTCAGTAGCATCTATGAAAGTGGTGAGTATGTTGAGGATGGATATAATTTAATTTTTCAGAAGAAAAAAAAAAGAGATAGTTGTAAAGAAAAACAAAGCAGAATTACAAAATGAATCAAGAGGTTGCAAGTTCACTGCTAGGAATCATAGGGCTATGATAGAAATCGATCTGATGAATCATCCTGTTCACTGAAGTGCGTGGAGTAATCCAGAAGAAGACTTGCCTGATCCTTTTTTTATTGCTTGTTTTCTCAAGCGGAGGCATTTCCAGCCTCGGCATTTTTTCACGGCGCCACAGACAACTTAGCTGAGAAGGAAACCATCATTAGTGATTTGAGCGCGCTGATATCAATGTACTTGAGTCAAAAGAGTCGAAAGAATATTTACAATTTCTGGCGTTGATAATTGTATTGAAGATAGTGCTGGACATAGGAATTCAAAGCAAAGCCATAACTCATGAATATATAATGTCCAAGGCATAAGGCCAGATAAATCCAAAACAGTGGTGTACGAGCACTGGAGGAACAATTTTGTTTACTAATGTACAGTTGTTGCAGAAGAGACGACACGGGAAAACGAGTCTGTTTGGAACTTTGGAGGGATTTGGCGAGCAAAAATAGTCACAATATTGGCTTGGATAAGAGAAGGCAGGTTGCAAACTGACAAGAGTTCAGAGTGGTTGGACATCATCCTCATCATCCTCCGTGATGGGCTGGACGTGAAAGTTGGTACCGTTGACAGCAAAGAGCGCGATTCCCTTGGAGGTGAAGCGGTATTGGTGGGTGGCGCTGGTAGTGTAGTGAGGAGACTGCCGAGCTTGTGCAAGGTTGATGAAGATGCACTGTTTTGGGATGCATCCGGCGGCACCAAAGACAATACCCGTTGTCGGTCTTGGGCCAGAGCTGGCTAGGGGAGATGAAATTGTAGGGGTGTGGGAGTGAGCCATAGTTATAATATGGTTGAGGAACTCGTCGAGTGGTAGTGGTGCTGGTGAGTGGGAGGGAGGTGGATTGGATTGGTGTGCTGGGGGGAGAGGATGGGAGGAAAGTCGTGTTCATTGGCAGTCTTTTATACTCAAGAATGCAGCATCAATGAAAGCATCACCAACGGCTCAGAAGGATTACAATCCCTGAGGCGCATTCCAGCTCCGCTGAGTCTGGAGCCCTTTGTTGTAGGATTTTTTCAACGCGACGCTCAGCATACACAAAGGCCCGGCGTTGCAGCCGTGTTTGTTCAACACCTGGGGACTCGGCGCCACTTGGACAACTTGCAGATGGAAAGCTGCTATGTGGGACACTGCATTTGACAATGGACGGCGTCCGCCCACCTACCAGAGGCAGTCACTCCCTGCCACTCCAGAGTTTTTGAATCAGTGTATTATTCATTTGTGCGAGGCACAGATTAATAAGTCCAACAACAAATACAGAGAGTCAAACTGAGAGATCGCAAATAGCAGAGATATTGAGAGCAGAGAAAGAGGATATCAGCTTTCCAGAGGGTCGGTGAAAAGAAATCTACGAGCATAACAGTATGTCCGTCAAGCCAGACATCATCCGCAGGCGGGGCCTACAAACTCGTCACCTGCTGAGCCAACCCTATGTCTCAAACATTCATTTCTTGGAGAAGGTTGAATACTCACTTGTTGATTGAGAATTTGATGCATCATTGACGTTGGGTGCAGGTGGCTGGACCCGGACCCATAAATCAATCTTTGAAGAAAGAAACTGTGAATACATTCAATCAACAATATAATGTTCCTCATATCCATCCGGTTGTTTTCTACGATCTGGCATACAAACAACTTAGGTACGCTGCGCTGCTCAACAGTTGCCTTCTCCTAGAGAGGACCCAATGATCCTTACGGCGGGTGCATGGATCACCAGTCAAACCCTCAAATAATCGTCCGCCCAATTAGGAGAAGCAAACATGAAATGGTTTTTATTTGCTCGTTCTTATTGAGGAAAGTGATGAAAGATGGAGGACAGCTTCGCAATTTAAAAATGGAAAATCAGCAAGGAAGGGAAAAAAGAGTCAAATTGCAAGAAGAGGATAGAGGGAGGGGATTTCTTAAGATGTTGGTGGTTGATCGCCACAAATCATTAATTTATGAAGAGATGGGTCTGATTAGCAATCATGTTTCCTGATGTACATACATGCAGTAATTTAAAGGAAGACTTGCCTTTTATCTTATCCTGCTTGTGTGTTTCATTTGGCTGCGGCATTTCCAGCTTCGCCATGTTCTGGTTGAATCTGCAAGAAATCGATTTATTGAGGTCATAAAAATTTGAAAGAAGATTTATCGCGTTGATATTTAGAATGTGGTGGTATAAGGAGTTTTTTAAAAAAGTGATAATATATGGAATTTATGTATTGAAAATCAGAGATGGGGGCCTATTTGTAGAGTCTATTAGAGCATCTCCACCGCGGTCCCTAAATCGGGTCCCTATCCCGCATTTAGGGACCGCGGCCCAAAAAACACCGCCCACCGCGGTCCCCATCGTCGTCCGTATTTTACGGATTTCATCCTCGGTCCCTCTCCAGACCCTGGATCCAGGGATTGGATAGGGACCGAGGATTGTGCACTCACAGTCATGTTGATTTACAGACTGCCCGGTGTGGCACAACAAGTCTGCGAGTCCCTATCTGCATTCCGAGTCCGTATTTTCGATCGATAGGGACCCGAAAATACGGACCGCGGTGGAGATGCTCTAAGAGCCGGGATAGGCAGAAGGCAAAAAAGACGTATGTTTTCTGTGTTCCGACATATGACATACAGCTTTGGTAAGTTATGTTTATAAGTAGCCGTTAACTAATCCTCACTTAACAATTGTTTAATCAAGATCAAGTAGTTGGAGGACCCTGAAATCTGCAATGATCCTTAGGATTTAGATCATTTATTGAAGCTTTGCGGGTGCATGACATGGCTCACCAATCAAAATCACAGATAATCACACTTTGAGTAGAAATTATGAATTATGTTGTCATTTCGAAGTCATAGTATCATTCATAAATATATTATTTCAAAAAATCAAGAAAGAGGAGGCAGGAAACAAGAAAAAACAAGACTCCAAAAGAAAAATCAGAATTGAATTGCAAGAAGGAGAAGGGGGGCGAGAGAGGATTGATGATCAAGATGGTACGGTTTGATCTCTAGGAATCAGAAGACGTGAAGAAATGGATCTAGCTAGCGGTTCTAGTTGTTGATGTGCATGGAGTAATCTCAAGTACGCGTTATATCAAGATGTCAATATCATAGAAAAACGGATATATTTACCATCGTTGGCGTTGATAATTGTTTCGAAGATGGCCGGCGAAGGAATTTTGAGTCAAGTCATAACTTATCAACGCGATTCCCGAGAAAAATTGATCAGGCATATCAGAAAGAGTAGAGTGTGAGGAAGCTAGAAGACTACAGAAAAAGTTTCAATGTAGCTGCCTCCGAGTAAATTTGAAGAAAAAAGGCGACATGAAATTTGTATAGATCAAAGGATATCAGAGATAGGTTTCTGTTTGATCAAAGAAGTCGGTGTAGACAGAAAGCAAAAAACATGGTAGAAGATTGGGAAGTATAAGAGAAAGAAGAAATAGGGAACAGAAGACAATTTCAGTCGGGTCTCTCTCTCACACATCTGTTCTCTCCCATGTGGCATCTACCAAGGTGGAGGAAGCGGTCAACATGGTCGTCGCTGAAGCCGAGTCTGAGAGGCTCCGGACCATCTTGAAACTGTAATTTTGCGGCTGTAAAGGTGATCTCAAGTAATATGATATGCTTTCCTGCTTCACAGGTTTTGGCACAGGTTTTAATGTCAGTAACATCACCATGTCAGCCTCCTCAGCTCTTCTCAGCGAGTTGTTTATTTTGCCTCTAAAGCATCATCGATTACTAACAGTGTACAGAATTTGTAATACTACTCTTATTCCCAAAATTCAACCTTGCCACACCGATTCGATGTGACTATTGCTAGCCGCTTTCCAGTTTATTTCCCCTGAATCCCATTCTTATGTCGAGATCATCTCATATCCTTCATTTACCACAGTTGACTTCCTTGAAAACTATAAACATTTGCGCTTTAGCCGTACAATTTCCTGTCTAACCATCTAGCTTTGACTTTGAATTCCTACGCCAAAGAAAGCACCACAAGCGCAAACAAAGAGGAATGTTACTTAGACCAGGTGCGCTGGCCTTTTTGGGGTCACTTTTGGTGCTCATTATCGAAGCTCCTGGTCAATGCTCTGGTACAAAACTCTGGAAACGCTTGCGTCTTGTGGAGATCGAATCGGGTCCTCTGTGAGTATCAAACAAATCAATTTCAAGGATACAAAATAAGCAGTAGTTCTGAGCTTCAAACACCCTATGATCTATTGCATCCCTAGTACCAGTGAACCCAAGTAAGTGATCTCACCTCCAGGAAAAACGATCGAAATATGTTAAAGTACTGATTTGAAACCTTTTTTTGATTGTGTTTGCCTCTGTAGGGGTCCATCAGGTAGACTACATGGCACGTACGTGTGAATACAGCCCTTTTAATGAAATTTCTACATTCATGTCATTTGGACACTGATACCACATACATTATTTATGCAGAAATAGCAAATCTTCCATGAGACAAGACTGTCCCAGATCATCTTCTAACTCAAATTGTCCCAAAAATTCTGAATCCAATCTGTAAGTTTTTGTTCCCTGTGTGTTCTTAAACCCATATTAAAACTATTTTAACCCTCTTTGAATTCTTTTAATGGGTACAGTAAAAACATTCATCTGATGAAAGGAGAAAACCTGATTCCTTCCCGAAATTCACCAGTACTCACACCTGAAGAACTTCAAAAGGAAAAGTAGGTACTTTGTTCATTTATGGGATCAATTTTTCAGTGATTGAACCTAAACAATATTGAAATTGTGTCAATTTCAGGGAATTTGGTCTTAAAGCACTGAAGATTGTTTCTTTGAGGCAATATGGCATCAAGGGTGAAAAAGTGGATGAAATCTGGCCTTGGTTTGAGTAAGTATAGTTTTTGTTCTTGTAACTTGAATTTGAATATTTGGAATGAGGACTTGAAATTAGCCTGAATGGTATCATTGCTTGATCATTCTGGAAAACTCAATTTACTTAGAAAATCAAATCAAGGTTGGATCCAGGATGGGAAACTTTCTTTTCCACCTATTCAAATAAAGATGGTCCTAAATTGGTTGGTAAAGAATGTAAAGATGTCAGTAAACATAATTGTGTTTTATGGAATAGTGTCTTCATTCAATTATGCTCATTATTGTTTCTTTTTCTGTCCTAATAAAGACATTCATTTCTTAGAAGCATTTTATCTGGGAATCCTGTGGATAAATTCCAAAAAGAATTCATGAGAGAGTTTCAATATCTGTAAGTATCTATTCAGAAATTTCAAATTTATATAGAAAAAACAATACCATTTACTGAGTAAATCATGATTTTATTCTTCACACAAAAAGGAAATTGGAACAAGTGCTTTCTGAAACACATCCAGAGCTCTCAAAAACACAATTTGGATATTTCAAAATTTTTGTTCTCAACAAGTTTCTGAAAAACAAAAAGAATCCATCAGAGGTAGACTGGGAAGGCTGGACCAAAGCCAAGTGGACCAACCCAATGGTTGATGAATATTACAAAGAATGGAATTCAAGCAGAAAACCTATTTCCTTCCACATTGCATCTTTCTGGGAGAACTTATGGAGTAGAGTAAGAGATATTTGGAAGGGGTTGTTGAAGCCTTTCCATAGAAAACCTCATTGATGGATGCTTGCAGGTATTCTTGATCAAAAATATCATTGTTATTTTGAAAAGAAAACTGGATTTACTCATATTTTATACCCACATTGTCTTCTCATCCTTTGATTTAATCACAAATAGTATTGCATTATTAGCTGGAAAAACTTGCCACAATAAGCAAATCATCTGCTACATAGCTTATGAAGCTCACACCAAGATACCATATTGCTACTGTTGGTGTCTGTGTGACTGGCCCACCATTTGTCAAAAGAGGCTTCCTTGTTTTTCAAACCATTAAATGATTGTTAAATATGCAAAATCACCACAAGTCACCAATAGAGACTTAGTGAGGAATCAAGAAGCCATCTCAATTATTGAATTTACATATAAGGAATAGATAGAAACAGAAAAAAAATTGTACACATATTCTTTCAACTTAATTTAGTTCAAGTTGAAGTCATTCTGAATCTAACTACTGATGAGATTGAACAATGGTGAAAGTTCTTCCCTTCAAGTAGCAAAGCATACAATTCTTTTAAGTGTTTGTTGCACTGTATTCCAGAACTTTAGAACCACAGAAAAATAAATTTGGAGCATCAACTCTTTTCTTCTTCATTGCTTGCAGGATGATGATTCTGTTATACTCAGAGGTTATTTTAGGCTCTGTTTGACAAAAATATATTGGAAATTGTGGTGATATCTGATGAGGTTTTGAGGCAACTGATCAGATTTCACACAGGATTTCATGCAAAGATAGCAATATATTTCTTGGATTATATTGCTACTAAACAAGGCCTTAATTTTACCCTTTTCATCAAAATCAACTGTATCAGGCCCATTAGTGAGGAAGTTTTTATCAATGAGATTATGATCCAAGGGGTGTGTTGAGAAGATGAGCTGAGGGAAATATTTCTTTGTGTAAATGAATACAGATAGGGGGAATTTGAATAGAACTGATAGAGATGGGTGGAGCAGAAAGATGGAGATGGTTGGAGCAGAAAGATGGAGATGGTTGGAGCAGAAAGATGGAGATACTTGCAGAAAAGATTGGTATTGAAGTCAAAGGTGAATGATAATATTTGGGAAAACTAGGAAAAGACAATGCTCACTTGATGACAAGTGAAATCAGGCCAAGTTGAGCAGGCTACCCACTATTTACCAAGCTTAACTCTAGTTCAGTGACCTGCAGCACACAAAGGGGCCATTGCAGTTGGATCACAGCACTATCAGAATTAGAGCTACACTGGATTGACCAATGCTCCATAGTGTCACCTGTCATCTGATGAGAATTGTTTTTTTTTTCCTGATGGAAGGATGGTCAGAAAAAATAACCTGGATCTAGAAATGAGATTCACAAAGCCCCTGAAAAAATTTGTTTGAACTCACAAAGTAAGCCTCTAATAACAGGTACTAAAAGTTTATTGCCCAAAAACGATGGGGCAAGAATGTCTTTTGAGTTCATTTTCTTTTTTTTTCTGTGCCACTCACATGACTCTTTGTTTGGTGGTCATCTTCAAAGGTGTTCTAAAGTATGTACAGTTGACTCACTATTGAACCCCTTTAGTGGACAGACATATTTTGACATGGGTTAAGGGGGAGTATGAGTTGATGGTTGAAGTTTTTAGGCATTTTTGTGCATTTTGGTAGACCAAATTCCATAAAACATGTATGGTTTCAAAGGGGTTGTGGGCTAAATTCTAATAAGTCATGAGTGAAGAGTCAGTTGCAAAGTTTAAAAAACAAACTTGAAGTACCAAAAAGCTGTGAATATAGTTGTTGATCAGACGTGCTCTGACAAAAGACTCTTGCAGTGAAACCCACAATTTCATGTTTGGAGTGACTACATTTGGGGATGAATCAATTTGATGCGACCCCTCAAACTCTATGGGCTGAACAGGAATAAAGAAAAGTTCAGACAAAGAAGATCACTTTCAAATGAATTCATGATGGCAAGGACTTGAAAACCTTTGAAAATCATTCCTGTCCAATTTCGATTCTTTGGGATACACAATTTGGGGTAATAGGGCAAGAATCCCCTCCTGACTGAGACTTGCTTTGCAAGTTCATATTCCACAGCAGGAGGCAATCTGTTGATTTCAACCCAGGAAACATTAAGGGTGTTCAAAAACAGGCTCAAACATCAAGAAAATACTTACATCATTCCTGCCACAGGCCATTTATGTTCTCAAATTCACACTGCCATGATTTGATTTTGAGCTCCCCTCAGTGTGTGCAGCGGGGCCATTAATATTGGACAAATCTACCATTTCTGTGGGCCCTCAGAGTATTCAAAGTTTGATAATAGATGTATGAAAATAGATTCATAAATGTCATCTGGCACAGATCTGCTTACTGCTCAATGTAGAACTGGGAGTGGATGGTGGGGGGCTTATGGTTACAAGTTTCTTATCCAAGCATAAACATTGGGCTTTTAGCAACTCAATTTTCCGTGATTTGTTCTTTTGGTACTGAAATAAAATTTTGAGCAAACACTTGATATCAAACCTTGTCCAAAAAAACAAAAAACAAATTCTGACACAGTGTATTACATACCCTCAGAGCATCTACATAAAACTGTCTCATGTTTCTGCTTACACAATCCCTGACAAAGTTTGCTCATGCAGATTTATGCTTCACAAGTCTTATCAGAAAACTTTAAAATTTAGGGCAACTGGACACACATTCTGTATGGAAAGCTTCAGTAAGGAAATTTGGCTGGGAAATATGACTCTTCCAAAAACTGGGCCGCTTTTGCTTTTTGGTCAATGCGACTCATTGCATGATTCTCAAGGTTCTGATTGTATCTTTTTTGTGGATCACTTCTGTGCTATGGTTGTGCTCTCTGTTGACAATTATGTAGCAACAACACAAAGCTCCATCATCAGTGAAATTTTCTGCGTCACCTATGGAATCCATGAGACAGATCAATTGCTATGGACATTTGGACAGGTGTGCTTCATATCACTTTACTGCAAGTTCCAAAAATGTGATAAGAACCATTGACCTCCTAGACCACTTTCCATCAATCAGAAGTGCATGAACTTTCATTTTATCAGCCCAAGTCGCTGCTTGAAACGGCCGACTCCCCGCCGCTTGATCGTTACATTTAAAGCAGTGCACAACAATGCACCCGAGGGATATGAGGGTGTCCAGTAAAATCTGTCCCCTGCCGGCCACCGGCGTCCTCATTTTCATTTTTTTTGGTCCTAATCTATCCGCCAATGTGTGACCTGAACACAAATCACGCCGGGCAAGGGTCCTTGACGACCAGATCATCCATGAGGACCTGATATTGTGCGAAATGCATACAAACGATTATTTTGAGGTGCAGTCCAATTGTTTTTCTTCTTTTATCTTCCGAAAGAGATAGTGGGGAACACGCGGTCCACAGATGTCATGGTAACTACTAAAACAGGAGGCAACAACGAACCGACGCACTATGTGTAGCTTGTTACATCTGATCAATAAATCCATATTTCAATATTTATTTTGAAGTTGCATGCCGATGAGTCCGAATTTGCACGGCACAAGAACTGTTAATCGCTGCTGTCTTTCCGGGGTTTTTGGAGGTATCAATCTTTGAGCGCTCGGCAAGTCCGGATGAGAGTTCCTATATGTGAACAAGTCAGCCCGATTTGACCCGGAGATGGCGGATGGCCGTTGCGCGCCGGGTGCAGAGCTCTAATAGTCACCAGTGGGATGGGTTTTGATGGGCTCACTTGAAGCGTTGGTGGAGCCGCCAATCAACCTTGGTCATTCGTGTTCTCTTTGCTTACTGTTGGGTCAATCGTTGTGTTTATCTTGAGAGCATATAATTTGAGAAGAAATGAACATAACTATCTGTCTTGATTAACGCTGATGAAATTTGAGAGAGAAGCGCCTGGTGTTTCGTGCAATCAACTTTTGCTCGATGATTACATCATGACTCTCTTTCATGAAACAAGGCTAATTTGGTTAACTCTCAAGCTAGATGTCTAATACTCAAGCAGGAGACAATTCTTCAGCTTTTCCTGGAGTGGATCCCTCTGATGTTATACCATGGGTGGTCAGTTTCCAGTTCTGCTATGGGAAGTCATGACTGATGTGCAACTTTTTTTAATGGTTTTAGATAGACTACATATTTATGCATGCTTGAGTCCCTTTGGTTTTGGTTTTGGCTTCCTCTCTCCTTGAGTTGAGTGAGTGAGAAGTTGTCAGTTAGGTTAAGAGCTTGTTATTTTTAAGCCCTTCTTGGAGTCTTCGGTTAATGGGCCAGTCGAACCTGTTCTTCTTTCTTGGGACTGTGACATCTCTCTCCCCCCGGGTGGTGTTTTGGTGGTGTGGTTGAGACTGAGTTACAAGCTTGCGTCGCTGTAAACCATCATCATCCATCCACCCATCCCCCCCTCTTCCAACCCGACAACCGTCTCTGGGCAGAACTCCTTCTTCCTCCCTCTCAGTCTCAGTCCCAGGCTTCTCTCTCAGCTCGAGCATCCCCGCTCGACCAACCAGGCCTGGCTCAGCTTGTCATTCGACTTGTAAAAACTCGATTAAAGCTGGAAAGACCCCATCCACCCTTCATCTCCGCCTCAACAAGCCAGTCTTGAACATTTTGCAGTCTTCCACCGACTCTTGATCAACGACTTTCTTCTGTTGACCACATTGCGTCATCCCACTATTAGCATATATATCCCTGCTACCCCCCCCTCCTTAAACACCTTGTAAACCGACTAGTTTAAACGAGACCCCCATCTCTCTCTGCTCTATCTTCCCCTTCTTCAATTCAATCTTTCTTTCAATTATTTACTTGTGTTGTATCTCGCTCTCGCTCTCCCATCTACTCGAACCCTTCTCAAGTTATTCCTATCGCTCTTGCCTACTATCACCACCACCACCTACATCTCTCTCTCCAACCCCCTCTCCACTGCTCAACCGCCCCAGCAAACAAAGCCATCTCAACTGCATATCCCCGGCACTTCTCCTCCTCCCCTCCTCTTCAAGACCTCATCGTTCAATCATCCTCATCCTCGCCTGTCTTGTTCGCACACTTACTCTCGCCTCTCCGCTCTGAGTTTCTTCTGCCCTCTCAGCTTACTTTGACGTAAAACTCAGCCCGAGGCCTCCGTCCTCCGTTTTATGCTGGTCAGCACTACCTCTGGTCGGTCTACCCAATCCCCGCCTCCATCATCTTGCGAGTCCCTCTCCGACCCTCCTCGTCTCCGATCATCAACCCGCCCATCAACGCTTATCCCTCATCATCATCATCAGCACCAGCACAGCAACCATCTCGACATTCCCCTTTCCCCTCAACCTTCAGCAACAACCTTCCTCAGATGACTGCCGCCGCCACCGCCCTTCCGGGCGCATCTAGCTCCCATGGCTTCGACGTCACCTCCCCAGCTCCTGGCTCCCAAAATCATAAACGACCCGTCGGTCTCACTCTCGCCAATCCGAACTCCCATAACTTTTCCCACTATCCGGTCTCCGCGCCCTCCTCAAGCGCCCCTTTACCTCCTGGCCCCCCTAATCACTCCCCTATCGCCCAGCTCCATCGCAATGCATCCTTCTCCTTCTCCACTTCCCTTCCCCCCAGCTATCAAGCTCTCAACCACTCTCTGGCCCTCGCCTCTGCCCCACCCTCAGCCACCATCCCGCCGTCTCACTCCGCATCAGCCATGCCCGTTGTGAATCAAAATTTTCAACCTTCAAGTCATCCAAGGGCTCGTCTTCCCACTGCTCAGCCAGGCTCGGCTCCCCCGCATGGTAGAGCAAACGAAACTCAGGCACATGCCGGACCTGACAGTCCTGCCACTCATCTAGCCCATTCTGCTAGACCATCTACATCGTCGGCACCATCCGGCCAGAACATGCCGAATGGCAAGCCTGGATCCCGCGAGGACTCGGCCATACCTCCTGCGTCTCTGAACAACTTTCCTGGACTCGGCTTTGCTGTACCGCCCAACTCAGCCCCGCAAGCCAAGATCGGCACTCAAGCCAATCCTGGGTCGAACCCGGCAGCCTTAGAAAGCTTACGGTTCTTTAATACCTACCTATACGACTATCTCCTCAAACAAGGACTTTATGAGGTCGCGCGAGTGTTTGTCGCCAGCGGTGTGGAGCTTGATCTTGTCGATGGACGTGAAGGTGTACCTGCTTCACAACCCGGATCGAAACCCAATCCACTCAGTAGCAATACTCACAAGAGACGACGTTCCGAAGGATCAATCAATGCCCCCAATTCCTCCCCTCAGGCTGGGTCGAACGTCCTCAGTACCCACGATGGCACCAATCCAGCTATCCCCAAAGGTGGCAACGCAGCAAGTGAGCTCCTGCCATCTGAACGCTCTATGTCTTCATCTGGCTCAAGTATTTCGAATGCTTCACACTACGGCTTCAACAATACAGATAGTAATCGTTCATCTAACGAAACTCCTGGCAGTCAGGGTCCTAGTAGTGATCCGGCGACCAACCCATCCGGTCCTCATGGACCCAACGGTGCTAGCACTTCTCCCAACACCTCTGCATCGCCTCGGTCCTCGCCACTCGACTACCATACTTTGCGCGAGAATTTACCCAAGCCAAAACTTGCCATGGACACCGACCAGGGATTTCTGTTTGAATGGTGGTCGATCTTCTGGGACGTCTTCCGTGCCAAGACAGGCCGAGCTCCAGCACAATCTAAGCCAGCCCAAGTTTATGCTCAGACTGTGGCTGCTGCTTCGCTTGGGATGCCTACCGATCCGGGTGGATTAACCAAAGCCCGGCGTGACGCGTTGGGTATCCTCGCCGTGCCAAACCCAGTTGACGTTCAGAAGGGGCAGCTGAGTGATCGAATTCAACAGCAGTACACTTTGGTCAACCCCACCCCGTACAACGCCCCTCATCAAGAACCCGGCAATCCTCCCGCTGGCACACGCGTTAGCCCCCATCATTTGCAAGCCAAGCAGGCTTTATTGGCAGAGCAGGCTCGACGTGAACAAATGAATCGTATGCCGACGCAACAACACTTCCAGAGATTCGAAGCCAACATGGTTCGCCAACGACAAACTCACTTGCAGCAACAGGCGCAACAGCATCAGCAACATGCGAACGTGCAACAACAACAGCAAGAGCTTGCATTGCGCGCTCAAGAAGCTCAACTTCGCCAGCCACAACACATGCATCAAATTCATCCCGCTCATCATGAGCAATTTGTTCAACAGCGACAGATGTCTATGAACGTCAGACGGTAAGAAACTCCCATACTTCATATCACAATGTAGTTCGATCGTTGATCATTATCATTTTCCTTGGTCTGCTTTGTAGCCCGGGTATGCTGGCTAACATGAATTCCGACCAAGCGCACGCCATGATGCCACCTCCTCCTATCCAACATGGCTCTCCTTTAAACCCCCACCAACAAGCTTATCGTCCATCCCGACCTCCCAGTCGATCTGGAGCGGCTCATGTCTCCAGCCCTTTTGCGCCCAATCAGGTACAGCCCCAACGTCAACCCAGTCGAGCATCCAATCATGCAAACAGCCCGGCGATGCAAGCTCATCCTCGTACGCCGAGTGCATCGCACGCATCCACCCCGCAACCATCCGCTGCCCCTTCCCACAATCGTGCCAGTCCTGCGGTGAGCAATGGTGACCAGGAGCGCAAGAAGAGGCGTTTGAACGACCCCATGTATAACTCAAACGATGTCATCCCACCCGAACCTTCTAGCCTACCAACTCCAGCTCAGCATGCGCATCAACAGCAGCTCATCTCTCAACAGCAACAGTTGGCTCAGCACCATCAACAACAGATGAATCAACAGCAGATGAATCAGCAGCAAATGGCTCTTCAACAACAACGCATGGAACAGCAGCACCAACAGCAACAGCAACAATTGAGTCAACAACAGCAGTTCAACCAACAACAACAACTGAACCAACAACAACAGTTGAACCAGCAACAACAGTTGAATCAGCACCAGCACCAGTTGAGCCAGCATCAGCAGATGAACCAACATCAGCCGCCTAACCAGCATCATCAAATGAATGCTCTTCAGCAGCAACAAATGGCGCAGATGCAAGCCGCACGGCGTGCTGGGGCCCACCATTCCGAGTTCGCTGGTAGTCCATCTGAAGCTTCACCGATGAACATGAGTGTTGAAGCCTATAAGCAATCGATTCATGCGAAGCACAGTCAAGCGATAAATACTACTGGAGCCTCGAATGGCCATAAGGGCAGCAACTCTACCAGCCCCAATAAAGAAGGCTGCAGCAAATCTGACGAAAACTCGATGCCTCCACCCTCCGGTCGTAACATAGCAACCCAGCCTTCAACGCCACAATCCTCTGCCAGTGCAAACAAAACAACCGAATCAACGCCTCTCCCATCCATTGTTGCCCCATCCCCTAATCTTAACCAACCACTGCGCCCTGCTTCGCGAAATGATCAGAATCCCCTTTCTGGTGGCACTGGAAACATGTGTACCGGTACCGACCCTGCATCTGCTACCTTGCCTCCCAGTCAATCCATTTCTGGAAGATCAATGTCAAACAATGATGCCGAATCCAAGGCGAATGCTGCGACAGGCGATGTGCAACGCGCAAATGAAACGATTGAGTCCTCAGGTGGAGTTGAACATGGCAACGAGAAATCGATATTTGCAACCGAAGCCAGTTCCAAGGTATGTCTGATCGTCTTCTTGTTTGACTTTTTTCTTCCTTGATTAACGTAGTCTCTCTGCTTCACATAGTCGCACGATAAACCAGGCGGTTTATGGTCATTAGATTCCAATGGTAACGGACAGCAGCACCAAAATGTAAACAATGGTGGTAACGCTCAATCTCACATATCGCCGTCGGGCAACGCCGGCTCCCAGAACTTGACTTCGGATGACTTGAGTGTTGTTAATAACAACGTGAGTTTCCCGGGGTTTTTTACATACTTTCTTTATTCACAGGTCAAGAAATGGAGAGCTGATGAGTTGCTTTCTTGAACAGGCAATGGACCAGTTGTTTAGTACAGACGCATTATCCTTCGACCTTGACTCGAGCTTGTTTGATGCCTTCAGTACGTGATTCCATCTATTGAGTTTTGATGTCGCGACCGTGTCACTGATATCGATCTATTCATTGCTTTTGCTCGTCTTTGACAGTCAATTTCGATCATAGCACCTCAGGTAGGCTTGATTCCCCGTCTTTTATACCTTTGGTCAATCGCAGATTAGCTGATTGCTTCATTTCAACCCGTTTCGTGTTCTGTCCCACAGATCTAGCAAACCCTGACTTTTCCTGAATGGAGATGCTCCACAACTGAAGCCATCTTGGTGGAAGAGCGGACTGGATTTGGATCGTCGTTGGTCGATCGAACCTCAGTATTTTTGAATAGTGAATCGAGGGAAGGCAAGGTATCAAACACCGTGCCTTTTCGACTTGACCATCAACCTCGACTTGAGTGTCTTTACAGGTCGCTTTCATATATCTTCATTTCTTTCTTTTTCGTTCCATTTTTTCGTTTTTCCCCTTCTCTTCCTCTCTCTCTCTTTCCCTCAATGATATAGAGCCTGGTGTTTGTATTTAGTGGGCCTCTCCTGCCGACACCAAATGCATAATATATATGCATATATATATATTATATTTGGTACGTTGAAGATATAAAATAGCGATGTGTAGAATTTGATACATATATATAAATACTTTACATTATAATCACAAAGAAAACTCCCTTCCTCCTCCTTCTTCCTCTTCTTACATCACCCCTGAACTAAACTAAACTACATAACCCCCCAAAAAAAGCGTAAAACATAAAGCAGATCAGAAAAAAAAAGTGTTGAAGAATTGTAAATAATTGTGCTCGAGAATTTCCTCTTTGAAAAACTTACTCCAATTTGCTGTTGTTTGTGTTTGTTGATTTTTTTTTGTTGATTGACTGTTTGCATATTTTACACCGCTCATCAAGACTTGCGTTATCAATACATTATCGTTTTGTGTTTCCTTTTTTTATCATCATCATCATCACCATCATCGTTGTGTGTGTTGAGATCATCGCTCAAGTCGATGGTCCGAGACCCTGAATTCGATCACTCTTCATTCCTCCTTGCCTGTTCTTTGCCAATGCTCCTCAATACTTTAGCCCCCACTTGTTTATAATTAATACATACTTATCATCACCCATCCTGGCTCATCTCTTTGTGTCCTGTGAGAAAAGCTCGTCGTTTGCCCTGTTGCCATGATGCATTTTTTTTTTCTCCTTTCTTCGGAGGCCTCTTTTTTTCTCGTAGAGTCAAACCCAAAATCATTGATCAAGATGGCAAAACTCGAAAAGAAATCACAAAACTAACAGAAGATGTAGGTTGGGGTGACCAACTAATGACGTAGGTAAAAGGAAGCACTGTATTCACAGTATCATCCCTCGCTTCTTGCTTAATTGATCTCACCAAAAAGAAATGCTTCTCCAAGAGTCGCGGGCATGATGAGCGCCGACAAAAATCAGTAGCATCCGCTGCTCTCCAGAGCCAGAGCACACCATGTTCCTACCCGCCCGGGAAGGATTCTTCTTTGGTGTGTCAAGGGTATATGTAGGGCAGATGCCGCCTTGCTTGGCCTCTGCTGGCCCGAGCAAGCTTCGCCCTCGGCGAGCGGTCACCAAGGTTACCCGCCCGCTTGCCGGGGAGGATTTCTCCGGCCGGGGCCCCAGCAAGCAACTACGAGCCGGCTGAGAGGGATCCCTCCTTGACAAGCACCTTGCTCCTGCTGGCTGAGGAAGAAGATCCCTCGCTAGCGAGCAGGCGAGCAGGTTTCATATCTGCTCTACTAATTTGCCGCTGCCCTCGGTCGGCGGCAATTCGGGTCAAAAGAAGAGACGCTTGTGCTCTGAAGAGCCGCCAAGTGCTTTCATCTCCTTTGTTTTCTTGTTTGTTTTAATGCCCCGGTAAACAACTTATAATATGTATTTGCGGGCTGAGTGCTCGGGCACCAAGGTAGCTTTGTCCTGAATAGTCAATTCTTGCTCCATCCCTCATTGGTTACGGGCCAGTCACGGCCACACGGCCAGTTCATCAATTACCATGTTGGTAACTCTGAGCCATGTCCACACTGGCACAGGGTTGCTCAGCTCGAGCCATTCCAGCTCATTAAGCTTGCATTTCGGACTACTTAGACTGAAAAACTCTCCTCCTAGACAAACACTTAGAACAGGCTCACCCAGTGCCAGTGGCGACCGAAGAGACATATCTACAACACACTGGCCACTGAGAGTTATTCCCCTTCTTCCCTTTCTTCATTAATATCTCCACTATCACATCTACCCGGAGTCATCATCATCAGCACACATAATAATAATATCCTAATTCGCCAGCACAGAGAACAACAGCTTGACAGCCTAATCCCACGCCCATCAACTCATTACATCTACTCTCCCACCATCCAACCCTCTTCCTGCTGTTGTCAGGATGGCTCCTCCAAGGGGCTCAGCAGGCGCCCCGAGCAGGCTCGGGATTGGGAACGAACGAAGGCAGTACGAAAAGGAATTCTACAATCCGGAGTTTGAAGAGTCCCAAGTCCCTCTGACTCCAGTAGACAGACGCTCACCAATCGTCGCCAACTTCACCGCCCCACGTTTCAACCGGAACCTTACCGAACGAGTCCGACTGCAAGGCCTGATGGGAGGCTCCGACTTATCCTCTCGCAAGGGCGATTCCGAGTTTTCTGATGATAATCGGCTCAGCTTCAGCTCTAACGGCCCGGTCCCCCAGCTGCCCCGCTCAACCACCAAATTCGATGTCGAGCGTGGCCTCATCCTCACCTCCTTCACCACCAGGTTTAAGTCCTGGATGGTCAATGAGGGCTCGAGGAAGTTCTTCGTCTGGACCTGGATCTTCATCCACATCATCACCTTTGTCTTTGCATTTCTGAACTTCTTACTCAAGGACAACCTCACCCAAGCAAGAGCCACCTTCAACATCACTTATCCCATCGCTCGAGCCTCAGCACTTGTCCTGCACGTTGACGTGGCCTTTATCCTCCTCCCAATATGTCGGAATTTTATTACTCTTCTCAGGAGATCGGCACTGAATCAAGTGATCCCTTTCGAGAAGAATATCACCTTCCACAAGTTTACTGGCTTTGCCCTGGCCTTCTTCAGTGCGATTCATATCCTAGCTCACATGGTCAACTTTGGCCAACTGGCCGTTCGGACTCAGACCGGGATCGTCGGCTTCATAGGCGCTAACTTCCTCACAGGTCCCGGGGCCACTGGCTGGATCATGACCCTCAGCCTCGGCATCATCGTCTGGTACGCCCGTGAGAAACCAAGACGTGCCAAATTCGAGCGCTTCTGGTACTCTCATCACCTCTTCATCGTCTTCTTTTCCGCCTGGCAATTACACGGGTTTGCTCTTCTTTGCTTTGAATTTAATCCAACAAATAAACTGACGGATTCCCTCTTATTTTTGACCCTCACTCTTTTTTCAGAATGTTCTGCATGATTCAACCAGATCGTCCTCCGTATTGCTCGTTCAATCAGATTGGAGTGTTCTGGAAGTGAGTATGATTGAATCAGTGACATTCCGATGAGATCAACTGTGATGCTAACTTCTCCCCTTCTACTGCACAGATATTGGCTCGTTGGCGGTACGATTTTCATCTGGGAGCGAGTATTACGAGAAGTGCGGTCGCGCCACAAGACGTACATCTCCAAGGTAATCCAACACCCTTCCAACGTCTGCGAAGTGCAAATCAAGAAAGAGAAAACGACAACCCGAGCAGGACAGTACATCTTCCTGAACTGTCCAGAAGTTTCGTACTGGCAATGGCATCCGTTCACCCTGACCTCGGCCCCGGAGGAAGACTACATCTCAGTCCACATCCGTTGTGTTGGCGATTTTACGATGGAGTTTGCCGAGGCTTTGGGCTGCGATTTTTCGCGGAACAAGGAGAAGTCGAACGCCGGTCGTCCGACGGTTTTGCCCCCGGCCACCAACCGGGTTCTCCCACGGGTGATGGTTGATGGTCCGTTCGGCTCGGCGTCGGAGGATGTGTTCAAGTTCGAGGTGGTCATGCTGGTGGGGGGAGGGATCGGGGTGACGCCGTTCGCCTCGGTGCTCAAGTCGATCTGGTACAAGCTCAACTTCCCCTCGGCCTCCAAACAGGGCTCGCCGATCCGGCTCCAGAAGGTCTACTTCTTCTGGGTCTGCCGTGACTTCGACTCCTTCGAATGGTTCAAATCCCTCCTCTCGGCTATCGAAGAACAGGACGTCGATAGACGGGTCGAATTGCACACCTATATCACTCAGAAACTCAAAGACGACGACATCAACAACATCATCGTCTCTGACGTCGGAGGAAACAGGGATGCTATCACTCAACTGAGGTCTCCTACTCACTATGGCCGACCCAATTGGGATCGTAAGTGACAAATCGGGGGGTTTTTTTTGAGCCTCTTGCCCTGTAAAATCCATACTGATTCAATTCCGTGTTGTCACTTCAGGTATCTTTAACTCCGTCAGAGAGACACATCCAGCCACCGATGTCGGTGTCTTTTTCTGCGGCCCTGGACCCTTAGGACATTCCTTACATCTACAATGTAACAAATGGACCGGCGGGACCGACAATGACACTCGATTCTTCTGGGGTAACTTTCTTTCTCTTTTTTCCATTTCATACCTCACTCAAAGAATCTCTCGATCACTGACTTTCTTTTCTGGTTCATTCGTTTCAGGTAAAGAAAATTTCTGAAAGGAGATCGACAGACTGGTCAAAGCCAATCAATCATATGCTCCACATACACACCTGAGACTTCTGTTCTCTGTCTCTCTCTCTTTCTCTCACAAAATCAAACTAAAATAATTTGTTACAAAAACTCGTTCTTAACGTTCTCCATATTTATTGTCCCATTTTTTGTACTTTTTATTTTTTATTTCAATGAAAGCACCTCCATTGATTTCGTTTTTTCGCTTTATCGTTGTTCACATGTACATGCTTTTATGTTACTTCATTTGGACTGTTCAGATACTGTCAATGTATAAACCCACAGTCATTCCGATCAGAGATCTCCCACCATCTTCCAAGGAGAACTTAACTCAAGAATACTTGGGCATGACATTGATCTCCTGATTGATAAAAATCATTAACACTTGCTGTTGCACATCAAAATCACACTGAAAATAGATGGTCAAGGTGGGAGATAAAAAAATGTTGGAGCAGTAAAACCTGATGAATATGTGTCATTTGAACCCGTAGTTATAGGTTGTGTGGCCCCTTTTTGCAGGCTTGTCCAAAAAACATAGATGCCACATGTCATTAAGAAAAACAAAAAATGAAGCACTGAGCTGAATGCTTTGTGCTTCCACTAATGAAAAAAAAGAATAAATAAATAAATAAATAAATAAGTATACTTGGTGCCATGGGGGCAGGGCCCACATGTTTTTTTTTTTTTTTTGAAATTTGGCGGGTGTTGAGACAATTAAGTTTTTACACTACAATCTATACTGGATATCCTGGATGCACAGGATATCAGGTGAGATATCTGGGATGTTTAGTATAGACACCAGGTTTTGTTCTGTCAGTTGTTCTCTGAGCTCTGTCAATATTCTGTAACTTTCATGAACCTTTCTATAAGCTCACACTGTTAGCACTACAAAAAGTATTGGATCACATTGTGAAAATGTGTGGTAACATCTGTGATTCTGGATGGCTTTTGAGGTGGGGAAAAGATACAAGAGAAATTTGTTGAGGATGTATTGCAGCATAATGGGCTCGTATTTATAGACGGAAGAGTTAGTAGAGATATTGGGGTAGAAAGAGAGGTACACAAGAGGAATATGAGCAGTCCCATTAGATGGGACGACTAGTGTTACAAGGTAATAAGGGAAAGGACCGGACTTGGCTAAGTTCGGTCCGTATTTAGTATGTCTAATATACAAGATAATAAGGTTAGAGAGATAAGAAGCGAGATGAATAATATAGCCAAGAGCGGCGGACAGTACATAGGTTAAGGAAATAAGGAAAAAGGGAACGACCGAGAGCAGTCAATAGAGTACTCAGCAGCTGGATAAGGCTCCGCTAGAGCCGTTACCTTATCCGTAAGCCGGGGCTTCACACATTGAATGTCACATGCAATGTCACCTTGCATTTTCACATGCGATTGAATTGCTAGGGCTAAAAATTCAATCAAATTTTGAAAATGCAAGGTGACATTGCATGTGACATGCAATGTCGCCACGCATTTTTCCAATGTGATCCAACACTTTTTGTAGTGTAGTTGATGAAGCATAACAGGAGGACATCCACTGTCAGCTTGCTACTATAGCAGAGACAACCTGTCATAGTACACAAAACATAATATAAAATACAAAAAAGACATTATTACTCACCAGAGATGTTTTTAGATGGATAGTACTGAAAATAAATGGGAAGATCAAATAATAAGGGCATTATTTCTCAAGATTCTTAATCTATATGAAGAATAACCTTGGGTACCTCACTCAAAGGTACCCTATATTTCAACTACTTCATATGGTAAATCTACATTAAAGATATAGGGTGTACCTCCAAGCAGGAAATGAAAGATGCTTATGTTTATAATTAAATATGCTAATAAACAGGTTTAAGACTTGAAACTGATTTGCTGTTTCAAATATACATTTGTATATTTATAACACGTGTGTGGCACATTTCCAAGGAAATAGCCACATGTTTCAGCTTTCATCTTCTACAGAACACCTGTGGCACATTTCCAAGAATATGGACACATGTTTCAGCCTCCATGCATGAAGCGCCCACAAGTTGACCCTGATCTCCCAGATGCCTCCACGGGTATAGAAAGAGCCCTCTGTCCCCCCAAATAAGGATTCCTCAGATTATTACAACCCACCGTCCCAAATGCTTAACAATTGTATCTGTCTGGTAATGTATTGTATCTTGATTTAATTCTCTGTCTATCAGAACCTCAAGACTTAAGGGGCTTTATTAGTACATAATGCCCCCTTCTTTCTTGAGATTCTTACTACTTTCTTCTGGGTTTTAAACCACCCCTGTTAAACAGGCCCCAGTGTTAACAGGTACCTAAATCCTCTGCTTTTGCACAATATAAACCACCCCTGATTTATCAGGCCCCTCTGTTTAAATTATATCAATATTCATTGATATAATTATTCATTTCTACTATCTAATAACCTTGTAATTCCCAATCATCATTGGAATTACCACCCAAACTCTTCAGTTCCAGAGCTTGAACTCTGTCATCTTAAGTTTTGCACCACATGTAGCTAGAAGATTTACCATCTTGGCAATGGTATCACGGTGGCTGACATCCACTTTAGAGAAACATTACAGAAAAGTGTCAAGGTATGTACTCAGAATTTACCAAAAGATTACAGACCTTTTGCAGAAATGTTACAGAAGATTTTCCCCAGGTCAGAAAACACTTAACATAACAAAACCTGGTGTCTACTGGATATCCCTGATACTTTAGCAGATATCCTGTGGGGAATATTCAGTATATGAGGTCTTACTCTTAGTGATAGGAAAGAAAAATGGGAAATTGAGGTGCTGCAGATTGTTTGGTGGATCCAGATGAGGGGCTTGCCTGGGTCCTTGAGGGTGTTGACTGACTGTGTGCTTGGTTTTATCCTCTGTGGTTGACATCATCAACTGAGGCTTTAGGCAACTTATTCAAGACTGATCAAGATCCATCCAAAGACAGAAAAAAAAAACTTGATGTTTTGTGTGAATCAGAATGACCAATACAAAATAACAAAAAAGAGCCACCATCAGGGAGGGGGTCTCAAATATAACCAAATCCACCATTATTTGATGGACTGGGTTTGGAAAAATCCACCATTTTTCAAAACATGTTGGTTCTTCTCCTACCCCCTTGGAGGACTGATTGGTGCAAAATTTTATTTTTGGAAAAGTGACTGGTTTCCAATGGAATCCACCATTGGAAACCAGTCACTTTTACCAAAACTTTTTTTTTGCATCAAATGTACCTGAAAAGGGGTGAAATGGAGAACCCACATGTTTCAAAAAGGGTGGATTTTTTCAAACCAGTCAATTAAGTAAAGGTGGATTTGGTTATATTTGATACCTCCTTATTTGGTTTTTCATAGGACACAAAATTTGAATAGACATTTTTTTCATTCTACTCACTGTACACTTGTAATTTACAAAAAAAAAATCAAGGATAGTGGCTTGATGGGGGTCCATCCCTCACTAAGGCTTCTGCATCACCAACCATACATACATACATGTAAACCCTTCACAACAGCCAAAAAAATAAAAATTACAACATCTTTTATGTGTCTATATTATGCAAAAAAAAGAACAAAAAAGAACATGATCAGAAAAAAAAAAAGAAAAAAAAATCCTAGTAACAAATTAACTGATAAATAAGAAGAATAACAGTTTGGATTATTGTATGTGTGTAGAAACAAAATGAAAAGAAAAGTTCTCCACCCATAGAAGAAGAAAAAAAATAACAACGGATGAGTAATGTGAAATGTGTGTGTAAGCAAAAACATTATTATTTCTCTGTTTAACTTTCTTTCAGAGGTTGCATCAGGATTTTGATTAATTGAGCTGAGACTAGATCATTAGTAGTTCTGATGGTTATACGTGCCAACTGTAGTTATTTTGGGGAGTTCATTTCAAGTCAATCCAAAATGATCAAAGGCCAAGAATGAGAGGAATGACATAAATTCACAAGGTCATGACGACTTACTTGAGCTTTTTCATTAGGTTCCAATCTCATCAAGCACCCCACTTTACCATTAGCCGAAGTATTCAAGACGCCAGCACCGACCAAGTTATTCGGATTTGGGTCGACTTGTTCCAAGATATTGAGCTTCATTCCGGCCACCAACTGAGCCATCTTGGCACTCTTCATCAGCTCGCCGGTGTTGTCAGTCTTCTTGATCTTGAAGATCTCTTGCTGTTCCCTGGGTGGCCCGCCGATCTGCTTCCAACGTTCGAAGAAGGTCGTCGCATTCAGTTGAATGGGCTCGAGAAATTTGCTCAAATAGATCGGCAATCGGATCGTGAACGTTTGCAGCGAGCCGGCTAGATAGGAGACTTTCAACACTGGCAGCTTTCCAAACGGCCCTTTGCATTCTACTAGAACTCTCTGCTCGATTTGAGTCATCGCCTCGATTGTGTTGGTTGGGATCCTCGGCAAGCTGATCGCCAGTGCCTCTGGCTCGTCGCTTTCCACCATCAACGTCAAAGACTCGAAGGGTGCGGTAATTTTATTTCCAAAGTACAGTGTCAGTTGGCCATGGTCGCCATGGTACTCGGATTTGAGGCCGATTTGCAATTGCGCATCTTCGTACAGCACTCCTTCTGACAAGTAACTCAACCGGATCAGCTGCTTTTCAGCCCCATGTGTTAAAACGGATGCTGTGGCTGGCTCGACGTGTTCCACAGGATTGGGCTTCGTCTCGAGCTCAAGCCCATTCAAGTCTTGCACTATCTGATTTGTCGCACCATTGGTGTTGGTACCCTCGTTAGTTGAAGAGGAAGCCACCGGGGGCAATGGGATTTGACCAGGGCTGGTAAGCATCGAGTTACGGTTTTTCCGAGGCACGCCTTGCAGTCTATTTTGCTCCTTCGTCTTGTTGGCTTCCTTGCCTCCAATCACCCATGTTCGCTTATCACCAGTTTCTCCTTGAGTCTTCGTTAGTCGATTGAGTAATGTGCTCTCTCGTTCGGGAAACGGTGGCATTTCATCACAAACGGTTTGTAGGAGGTCTTCATCCGGCATTTGCGCGATCGCAAGATATTCACCTGGGAAAATTGGACAATCATCAATCCATCACGAATAACCGATCGTGTGTGCGCAAGTCAAAGCAAGGATCTTGTTAGTATCTCTTTCTACATGCCGCGTCGAAAAGGTGTGCTTACATGCGCGCTGTTGAAGCTCCGCATCCAAAACATGTGTGTATTTTTCAAAGACATCCAAAATCTGCGTGCGGATCTCGGGGAACAGATTCAACCACTTCAAATATGTTGTTAATAGCATTGCTCGAGTACTGGTCGAGCATTGATTTGCTTTGGCATGAAGGACTTGAAATTGCTCGATCGGTGAAAGACCCTCGTTATTAGCTACGAGATGACCAACTGAGGATGTCACAAGCAAGAATGGCCTGGTCAGTTTACCTCAAACAATAAAAACTGGGAGGATGTAGAAAAGATGATGAAAGTAACGATTCGAAGATTACGAACATTCTCCCATGATGTAGGCCGCCAGCTTGATCATCTGTTCATGACAGACGGGTAGATGAATGTACTCGAAAACCTTTTGCATGGCATATTCTTGTAGTTCTTCTGTGTTAGTGACTATCTGGATAACCCGATACCAGACTTCATCGCTGATGTGCTCTCCCGCTATATTCATCAGCTTCAGAATGGTGTTCAAGTACCATTCGTACTCAGTCGCAAACTTCTCTGTCAAAATCGCAATCTTCAACACAAGTTCTTCCCTGAGGGTATAGTCAGAAATCCCCAAGTAACGTAGTAGTTCTCCAACGATCACTTTTGCATTCGTTGAGTCGCACATCGAATATAACAGATCTAAGCCTCGCCGTCGGACACTGATGTCTTTATCCCTTAAGCTTAAGATGATGGTATCTTGATGTTGTTTCAAAACAGTAAGGTCATCCGATCGCGCAGCTAAGTGTGACATAGTATCGAGTCCTAGGTATCGAACATTGGTTTCCTTGGATAAAATGAATCCGGCTAGAAGGACCGATGATCGAGACACTAGGTCTGAGTTCGGATCTAGATGAATGGCCAGGTTAATTGCTTCAAACAAGACTGCGTTTTGAGCGTTACTCTGCTGAACATTTTTGGGAGTTTCTTGAGCGATATCAAGGATGGTCGACAAGACGATTTGGAGAGTGTTTGCCACAGCGCTATCCCCTTTCAATTAGTGATAAATGACAATTGTTTGTTAAGGTTAGTTTGCTGACTTTCCTATCAGAGGTTATAATGTGAGATTGATCATTTACCTGTTGGTGGGTAGTACTGCAATAGTCGTAGCAGCTTGCATTGTAGCCAAGGTATTGGAACTCGATAGTAGATATATTCACTAGGGGTGACTAAGTCGACAATCACCTATCTTGGGAGAACAGATGATCAGACCAGAAAAAGATTTGTGAGTTTGAGGGATAGTAATCAATCATGACAAGAAATGGGAGAAGGAAAAAATGAAGAATGAGAGAGAATGTTTGACTTGGTCCTAACGTTGTAAAGCCTGTCGACAGCTTTTTGGTAGCACATCGCAAAATCTTGAAGATGATCTTGCGCAAGGGTCAATACTAAACTGGTAACAGCCAAACAGACGCCCTACAGTTTTTTTTTTTTTTTTTTTTTTTATGTTAGTGAACAGCATCAGATATAAGAAGCATCGATTTACGATAAGATAGGAACATAAAGGTTCATACCATATCACCATCCGCCATTAGTGAGACGATTCTTAAAGCCCAGTCTGAGATTGGAAAGACCTCTGGATTTTTCCGATACAGTCTTAAGAGCGTCAAGGCGGCTTTCTTCTTGACAAAGGAGTTCGATATTGGACTAATCAAAAGGCTATAAACATCATGTAGCAAGCTTTCTGACATCTCTTTCCCACCTATGTTTGCGATCGCTTGGAGGGCTAGACAGTTATTTGTTTCGTTATGTCCGTCCAAATCTTTCCGGATTGAGTTGATAACCAGTCGAACCAAGTCCGAATTTTCGTGCATCAACAGAGTCAAGGCCAGATAACCCTGGAACGAAAGGAAAGAGAGAGGGTAGGTCATGGGTGAGTCTTCTATCTGAAATTCCACAGTTTGATGACTTGAGAAGGTCGTCGAAAGAATAAAAGGATCCATTCAATACGATTTGTTTTTCCGAGTATTTAGGGCTTGAGATCAAGTTGACTGCCTCCATGTGTCCGACATCGACAGGGTAACCTAGGATGTAAGTGAAGACGATTTTCGCGAGATACTTTTTCTTCGAATACCCGTCCAGATTGCCGTCTGTTTGGAAATCCATTCACCAAAATTGGAATATCAAGAAGAGACAGGAAGGATTAGATATCAATTGCTCAACTCGATTGAAAAGAGCCACTCGGTGTATTTGTGCTTGCCTTTAAACTTTTGTCTGATGTTTGCCATTTCTTTGTTTATTCTTTTTTCCTCCAGTTCGCGGACCCGACAAGCTCTCTAGGAAAAGTCCATGGATGTAACTATCAGTATGGTCATTGAGAAAGGATGTGAATACACCAACAAAGGTCTTACCAGATCCGCGATATACTGGTTTAGCCTGCAGTTTAATTGTGAACAAACAGCTGGGTCAGTTTTCCGAGTGATTGGTCTACAAGAGCTGAAAGAGACTTACCCTCTCATTTCGGTAGGCATTCTTGCTTGAGATTGAGTTGGATGATTTTGAGACGAATTCTAGAACCAGAGTGGGCAGATGGGGGAGAGGGAGGCAAAGGGACCACCCAACTGGGAATTGGCTCGACTGGGGTCAGTCTGCATCAGCATTACGTAATCAGTCGATCGAACTACTTTGTACGCGTTTCAGCCAAGTGAAGAACCTCCAAGAACTTGCAGATCCCAAAAACCTTCATATCAAAGAATTTACAGGCAATACAATTGATTGGATTGGATTGATTTCATGAGGGTTAGGCTGATCATAACCTGCTCTCATAACAGGGGTGAATATCGCCTCATTTCCTTTTTGCCTTCGAAAATAAATGTGACAAACAAACAGATACAAAATACAATTCTGGTGATTTTGTGAGTTGGGATTCCATGTGAATTATGTATGTAGCATTTTAAAGCTCAATCATATAAAGTGCTTCAAGATTTTGAAATGAACATCAATGTTGTATTTAGTTCACGCCGGTTCTGGTCCTTATGTTCTTTCCTCACTGAATATAAACAGCACTTATCTTCTGTATCCAGTCACTGCCATGAGACCCAGAGTCTGTGATATTTCATTTCCCAAGCCTGGCCCACCTCAACACAAGATCACTTGATTGTAAAGCGGCTGAATTGACACGTAGAAACAGAAACAAACAAGACAGGAACTCAAGAAAAAATGGCCACAAGTCAACAGGCAAGTACTCCATGAAAGTTTAAGGGTAGATAAAATTATATCCAAGGCAGCTAAAGTTCACATATAGAAGAAAAAATACTACGATACAAAAGTACTTATTCATTTCTTGAGTATACGCATTGTTTATGGAGAAGATTGCCGTCTGAACATAAAAACGCGTATTCATAGGGGATCAGTGGAATATTTAAGCAAACAAATCTACCTCGTGTGAACTCTAAAGGAGGCTGAAGAAGGTGACAGACAACATGGGGTGGCCTCAAGAGGATGAAATATGTAGGCATTGAGCGAGGCAACTGGAGCCAGCTCGAGTTTGTCTTTGGCCTGAAATATAAAAGTAAAGACTATCAAACCAAGAAGATGTTTGTGTGGTTTGTTGGGATTCTATATGAAAGTTTATTTTGTTAGGTTTGATATCATTGGTAAACAGAAGAAACTGATCTCGCGTATCAAGGAATGTGTCTATGGGACCAGGAGAAAGGTATATTTATCAAACACACAGGGCGAGGGACCAAAGTACGAGGTGAACTCTAAGCTTACCGCTGGGTTTTTATTTCGTTCGAGGGAAAGACGAATCAATGAAGAAGGGGGGGCTTGAAGTGGTCCACTCTTTTTGATTAGTAAACAAGAGTATTCAAAGGAATAAATACTACCAAGGTTGCCGGGAAGAAGGCATAAGAAATTGAATGTCGGGGTTCCCAAGGATTCAGTTTGGGCGGAGAGGAGATGAGTTTTGTTCTTTCCGACGAGCAGCGGCGCGGTATTCCTGAATGATGACATAGGCGGGGATGGTGCGAGAGACAAGGGGCCCTTTGTCGGCAACTAGTTCCATTCCCTTGTTGGTGAAGCGGTAGGAGTGCTTGCTCGAGGCAGTTAAGGAAGGCTTTCGACGAGCGTGTCTAATCTTGACAGTGACCGATGCTTTTGGGGTGCACTTGCAAGAACCGAAGTGAGCTGGGCTTGCACTAGTGGGGTCATCGCGAGGAGGTGCCATCGGAGAGGAAATCGGAGGGGGTTGGGAAGCCACCATCATCGGCCAGCGTTGTGGGGTATCTCGAGGGAGGATTGAAAAGTCGGAGTGGTGTAGCCTGGGAGGAGTAGATGCCGACGGGCGCTGTGGGGAAGCCTTTTTATAACAGCCAATTGCTGCTAATTGCTGAGAATGAAAAGCGCGATTGAAGCGCTCATACTGAGCAGCAAGCTGAGCAGGCTTGACCCGTGATAGAAGTACTCAGTCAAAGGGAAATATCGTGACGCGCTTCGCTGAGCAGAACTCAGCCCCTACAATATCGCGCTAGAGAACGGCCACCCGCGTAGAATTCAGGTGTTTCTAACGAGGCTTCTGTTCCGCTGGATCAGAGTGACCCTCGTAAGAAAGACCAAGCAGCATTTGAGCGACTAAAAGCATTGAGTCAACCTGCTGACAGGATTTACTCACGCGTATCTTCTGAGTCACATAGATGGAGCATTCAGCACAATAGATCTCCGCCTTGTGACAATTTTCATCCACTGGGGTCCAACTTTAAAAGAGGACCCAAAATCATTTAACAGTCTTTGTGAGCAGTTATCTGTCTCTAGGTGAACACTTGGAAGGGGTAGCCAAAGGATGGAGTTGTATGGTTTCATAATTGTAGATTTCGTAGAACAAGAAGATTCACAAGATTTCAAGAAGTTGCGCAGTTTTTTTTCGATAGAATCGTCCATGACTTGTGAATTATTAAAAATTGATGTACTAATACCGAATACAAGAAAGGGGAGACAAGTTAGGAATGGAAGTAAAAAGAACAAACAGCGCCATAGAAATGAGATATACTAAGAATAGGAATGGAGAGAGTGATGCATAATGTTTTAGGCTTTGAGAAGTTCGAATAAGAGTGGGAATTCTTCAGCGGTCATCTCGAACTCAGGCAGTGCCTCGAACTCAGGCAGTGTCTCGAACTCAGGCAGTGGAGTAACCTCGCGTTCTTGTGGCTTGAATGTCTGGTTCCAGCATCTCTCGACTTCTGACCACCATTCGTCCGACGCGATCGCTTCAGTTAGTTGTGCGTCGGTCATGTTTTGAGCTCGGTTGTAAAGGTTGAGAACATTGGTCGCGAAGTCCGAGGTGGTGGTCATATCTAAGCTACTCGAGAAATCAGGAGTGATAGAAGAATCATCAACACTCTGATAAACTAATGTGATTCAACAGAACATCGGATGCTTACTTGTCGAGAATGCCAAATGAAGGAGATTCAAAGATAACCCAAGGAGCTTGCGGCACTTCCGGTTCGACGGCTGCCACTGGACAGTATGCCAAGGGACTCCGTAGGAATGGCGCTCCGTGTCCGCCTCCTCTCCTTCGGTTTGATGGAGTCTCGTATACGTAGCCCTTGGATAAAAGTGCGGTGTCCGAGTTCGTGTCACCCACCTCGACGGGTCGTCGTGTAGGGTATTTGGCCTTCAGGAGCACTTTTAGGGAGTCGCGGGCTCGGACGAGCGCCTTTTCAGCTTCCCGTTTGCGACGCATGGCAGTTCGCTTAAGGATATCTTGGGTGATCCGGGATGGTCGACCATTGACAGAGATTGTGATGAGTTTAGTCATAGCAGGTGAGGAAGTATGTAGTGGGGTTGTGGTGGGCAGCGATGGAGTTGATAATGGGGTTCAGTGAGGGGTTTCAAGAAAGGAAAATACCAAAGATAGTGATGTGAAGTAGTAGTAGTAGTAGTAGTAGTAGTAATAGTAGTGGGTTGAGACGAAGAAGAGAAATAAGGATGAAGAGTATTGTGCAACCTTGTCGGCGTGAGGAAGGGTGCTTTTTATACCAAACTTTTGCCGCTCGCCGGTCAGTGAACTCCAGGCGAACACTTGAAACGGACTGGGGCCACAGTAAGTAAGAACAGCCATCTTTGCTTTGGCTAGAAAGCTCAGTCGAATAGCAAATTGACTTCGGTAGCTTAGACTAGACATTGGAATCTTGTCTACCAAAGAGGCTCAGTAGTACACTTGACTTTTTTTTGAGCTAACCAGAGGAACAAGGGGAAAGGTCTGGTCGCTCCCTGATGTTGAGCTCTAAGACTACAGTCTACGAGTGAGCATGCCCTGCTGAGTTCCTGACCGGAGGGTGTCGGCCAAAATCCGGCCCAACCCCGATGAAGATGAGCTTCTGAAGCTTGAGCACCAGCAGGCACGTCGGCATTCAGGTCATGTCAACCAAAACAGCGTACCTTTCCTCCAAGCACGCGTATAGACCACTTGGCACATAAATAAATGCATATCAAAACAATTCAAGCTCTGTGGCGATAAGCCTTTCTAGGTCTGTCACGTGGGCCAAAGTTCCACACACCCGGGTTGCTTGTTGTCTCCGGGATTTCACCCATAATGTTATCGGTGAGCAAAAAGCCCGAGAAAAACAATCTCAAGCCCATCATGTGCAACCTTGGGGGCTGATCTGATTGCCGGGGGATCTATGCGAGGGTTACCTTCACCATAATCTGCGTCATGTTAGCCAAACGATGACTTGATGAAAATAAAATCTTGATGAAGCGGTTTGGTGTTCCGACAAAACCCCGCGCTGCGTCATTCCTCGACACAACGGGGTGGTCATCGGCGACTCATGCGTTTTTGGTTTTTGTTAATGGAGTGAGAAATGAAATGATAAGCATATGGCCAGTTTACCGGACGTCACACATGAAGAAATTGATCAGATTAAAATGTGTGACGATTTCACTTTCAGGTTGGTTCCAAGAAGCACAGAACCATACTTATATTGTGGAAGTGTCCCCAGATTGAGTGAGTTACTTCAAAGTTCCAGTGGGAGTCCCATCCCCTCAACCACACTGACTTTGTTGTATCAAGTAGCTCTAGAGACAGTACAATTTGGGGTAGCAAGGACCAAAGTTGTTTCCTGATGATCCTGGGAGCATCACATCACAATGTGCGCTTTAAAATACTTGAGTACGTACCATTTTCCATATGACAACATATGCTATCTCCAACCTAGATAAGTGAAATCATAGATTGTTGGAATCAATTGGGTCAGAGTTTGAAGGTTTGTGGAAGGATGAGGAGAAGAGTCCTTCCATGTACTCTGGCCCAGATATACTTCGGATCTAGGGACATGTGTGTGACATAGTGATGAAAGGTGAGAAGCACATACAAAAAGAGTGAGACTGAAAGACTACTCCAACACAGATATATTTGTAGTGGCGGGCTCCTCAATGTTTGCCACATCAAAGGATTGTGATTGTGAAACAATGTGTTATGGAAGTTGGGTTTCTTGGACACTACACACACCCTTCAAGTAAATGGCAGGTACATATAAACTGTCTTGGTATCAAACTTTTAGTACAGTCGTTGAGGTGAGAAAGAAGAATTGGTGGGCAAGAAGATGGTGATGATTTGAAGGAGTGATTGAACCCAAGATTGTATAAGAGTAAAGTTGTGTATTGGGCTTGGCTTGGCTCCTGATCAGGCACATACATAATTCAACAACCATCTCTGGCCCCAAAATTGGGAATGCACTGGACAAAAATTCTTAGCATGCAAGAAGGTCCACAACTCTTTCTTTCAGGTGGAATTCGATTCAAGAATGTTGCCAGTAGTGGCAATGGTTGAATCTAATCATTCACTGACATTTTAACCATTCACTCAGAAATCAATCTTGATCACCACAACTTGTTTACCAACTTAACATTATGTTTAGGATTTAAACAAGCCTTCTATGCATTTCTGTTTTTGCTTGGTTGAAGAGCATATATGTTTGTGTGTGTGTATGATATGGAAATGGTTAGAACACTTGAGGATGTGTTTTTGGTGCAGGACTGGGAATTGGAACGGATTTCAAACATAAAATAACATGGGATGATCAACAATCTGTTTTTTTTGGAGAAGTGTCATCCATCCATGCATCCAAAAAAAAGACGTGCGCCTTTAATCTCTTCAAATGAGAACTGAGGGTGTGGATATGTACTTACACAACATATTCAAGTCCAAGATATACTAGACACAAATACATATATGCACGCACAACCAAGTAAGAAGCGAAAAACGACGATGTTGGAGGTAGAGAAAGAGAGAAAGAGAAAACAGATGCGTATGTGCAACATGGATTGTATCAGAGACTTGATTCCGGGGGTTGATGTTTGTTTTGACAGGATTGCAGATAGGATTGCAGATTGGAAGGGGGAAGAGGAAGAAGAAGGTTAAAAGGACATTGCTTTCTCCAAGATTTGAGACAAGGCCTCAGCATTAGAATCGCCGGGGGCGAGGTCCCTAATGAGAGAGGTGGAACAGAAGGAGATTAATAATTGGGTGACTGAAAGGAGTGAGTGAAGTGGAGGCTAAAAGCGGACACATACAGGACGCGTTTCTGGGGAAGAGTACCCGCGACCAAGGCCTCGATATTTTGCGGATGGTAGCCGATCCCATTGAGGCCGCGAGGCAAGCCGAGCTCGACGAGGAACTGGGCGATCCGATCGTGGATGAGTTCGCCGACGTCGGCATCGGCGACGTGCGCCGAAGAACCCTCGCCGCGAGCTCGTCCAAAGATGTCCGCCGCTTCCCGGTGTCGGTCCGGCGACGAGGCCCGCGGTGAAGCGGAAGACCGCCGAGCCCGTCAACGCGACTGATAGTCCGTGCGGTACCAAAGGGCCCTCGACCTCATACCCTGAACCACTCCATTTGGCTAACTTCTTGTTCAAGCCGGAGATCTGTGTTATGTAGTCACCATTCTCTCAGCTGACTCTCCTTTAACAATCTTTTATATCACACTTACCGGGTACGAAAATCCATGACATAAATGGACACCGGCGTTCCCAAACCCGATTCCTGCAAAGGTAGATGCAAGCCTTTTGTCGACAATCGCCACAAAAAAAAAGAACACTCTCAATAAATCGTTCTTATTTTTTTTTTTTTTGTTGGAGAAGAAAAAGAATCTTCATGCAAATTTGTGTACTCACAACATCTGTGTTTTTGCCTCTCTGTCGGTCGGATCTTTAGCCACTCGGGGAAGATATTCAACCTAATTATTGAAAACGATGATGTGTCGAGAATGAGTGATACTGTACAGAAGAAGAAACTTGCTCTTCCTGCCTGCCCACATCCGCAACAAAAAAAACGGAAGAAAAGTTGAGGACTGACGGTAGTTTTCAAAGCCCACAAAGAAAACACATCGCTGATTGGATTCCGGCCTTGATAGGCGGGTCTGTATTTAGGATTCGAAGGTCGAGGAGTACGCATGTAATAAGGAATAGCTAAAGTAACAGAAATCACTCGGTGAGAAGGATCCATTGGATTACTCATTCTTTTGAGGGAGATAATAAGATAGCTTACCGGTGTAAGATTCGAGAGAGTGGAAGAGCACGTCCAGGCCACTGTTGACATGGACGGCTCGCGGACAGCTGTCGGTGCTCAATGGGTCCACGATCCCTAACGTAGGTCTTAAGGCCCGATTGGCAATCCCAGTCTTAGCTTGAAGCGGTGTATAATCGAAGATCTGATGGACACAATTGGCACAAAAAAGTAAGGGGGTTTTTCCCCAAGGTTAGTGAGTCATACATCTATCACTTTCTCGACCAATTAAAGAAGAAAGAGAAGGGGGGGTTGAAAAACGGACAGCGGTGCCGGTAGTTTCGGAGCCCGTGCCAGCGGTAGTGGGGACGGCGATCAAAGGCTTGAGGGAGCGCTCGATGGGCGAGCCTTTGCCGATGGGCGCATTGACGAACTCGAGCAGGTCTGCGTCGGGGTAACAGCTGTAAAGGTTGGCGACCTTGCAGGTGTCGATCACCGAGCCCCCGCCGACGGCCAAGAAGTGCGAGAAGTCGTGCGTCCGACTGAAGCTTATCGCCCGTTCCCAACTATCCATTTTTTTGTTTTTTGTTTTTTGACACACTTATGTATCTCAGTCTCAAGTACAATAAAACAAAACCATGATGATCATTGCTCGTATGGAGTGGCTGTTTACCTCTCTTGGTTCGGCTCTACCTTGCATTCGTTGAATACCTCGTAGGAGATCCCGGCCATCTCCAATGACTCCATCGCCGCTTTCATCGGGTACAAGTTCATGATCGTCTTGTCCGTGAAGACGCCCACCTTCCTGGCTTTCATGTTTTGGAAATCCATCCCAACTTCCTTTTTCAAGCAAATAAAAAATAAAATAATTAAATAAATTAACAAACCAAGTCAAGCAAACAGAAGCTCTGAAGATAGGAAAATCAGATTTGGAAGCTTACTCTGGTCACGCCTTCACCAAACCCTACCCATAATCAAACCCAAGGAAAACAAAATAAGCCAATGATGAGATCACATTAGAAAAGAAAGGATGAGAGGGAGAGGAAGGATGTCAACGAAAACAAAGACGCAACTCAATTGAGCGGCGGAGACCTCGAAAGCATATTCAGTGAGGGAGTCGACGGGGGCAGCGAAGGAGCGGGCGCGACCTTTGGAGAGAATGGAGCGAGCAGCCGAGCGGATATCCGTGGGGGAGTGTTGGTTCTGGATGGCTTGGTGGGCTGGACAGGGACAGCCATGGGACTGGCAGCCGGCGAAGGATTGGCGGGCGGCTTGGATGAGCCGGATGGCGGCGGCGGACTTGGTCGGCGTGAGCATCGGTGCTTGATTCGTCTGGTTGGGGTTTTTGAATCGGTCAACGATCAGATGAGTGGTCGTGGTGGCTTCTCTCTCTTTTTATCAATCCAGTGTTTTGACCCCACAATCTCAGAATCAATCAATCAATCTGCTGACGGCGGAGAAGACTGTATGGACTTACGAGTCGCAGCGGCTGTATTTGCATACTCCAATAGACTTTCCTTGTCTGCCAACTGAAAATTGGAATTGTTATCTTCAAGCTTGTCAAAAAGTTGTCATCAGTCCAGGAGCTCACTGAGTCACTCCGGAAAAACTTTTCCCCCCTTCACAAGCAGAAGGATCTAGACCCTTCACAATCTTGGAGAACTACTTTTGTTCTTCAGTGTGTTGGAATAGGCACCCAGCAGCAGAGCTTTGTTGCAAAATAATCAGTTTCAAGTAGGTTTCAATAGCAAACTCAGGCATGGAAATTCGATCACCCTTCTCTGCCTCTCAATTGGAATTGGAATGAAGATCTCGTTTGAATTGATATGATCCTGAAGCACTGCCGATCTATCATGTTCATGAACAATTGTACCAGCCCAAATCTTAACACAAGTACGTCGTACATAGTAATGCTCATTCACAAATGTATGAACTTGTTCTTTAACAAAGTCCTAAAGTTTTCGTTGTTGTTTCGCTCTTGACCCAAAACAGAAGAGAAAGAAAGAAAAAAAATATGTGGGGAAAAAGAAGAAGTATGTTAAGAAGACAAGGGCTACTCTCTCCGACGATAATCAGAGGTAGATCGACGATGAGATGAAACACGAGAAAAGGAATGAGAAGAAGAGTGAGAAGAAGGACGACGAGAGGGGGAAGCGGATTGCAAGGTCCTCCAATCCAAGCGTTCCTGGGCACGAACCTCGATCCTAGATCTAAGGGAAGAGGCCAGCGGATCAGATGCGAGAGAGCGATCGATGAGAGATCTCCAGTCCTCGAACTTCTCGATCTGGGAGTCAGAGAAGACCTTGGAGCGATCGTTGCGGGCAAGAAGCTTATCGAGGAGGTCGGTGAGCACCCAGATGAATTGGTCGACCCAATACCGTTCGATCTCTGCCGAGGACTCGGGTCCTCCGAACGGAGCGGTTTGTTTAGGAGCCCCAGGAGCGGCGAGGGCGGCGGCCGGTGTGGGGTCCGGCAGGCTCCGGAACCGAGCCACTGCCTCCAACGCCCGCCCGATCTCTGCGATCTTCCCCGCCCGGCCGGCCGCCTGGAGGAGCGTGGCCAGGGCACGGTTGGAAGGCGTGAGCGGGGCCAGGTGGCGGGTCTTCTGGATTAGCTCCACCAGCCCGTCCTGGGCTATCTCCTCGGGCTCCATCAGTTCCGTATGGGTCTGCGTCAGGCTGGCCAACACACTGATCCCCCCACTCACATCCTCCGTCTGCCATGCCGCTTGGATCGCTTTGTCTAGAGTGTCCCCCGTCGGCCGTAGTCGCTTGTTTCCCGACTCGATCATCCAACGTAGTAGACCTGCACAAAGAAAGCAATGATCAGATGATCGATAAGCATCCTATGATCGATTGTCTCTAGAAGAAAGATAGCTGATCTATGAAATTTTTGTCACCTTTTACTGAGTCCATCGCTCCACACCTTCCCATGGCGATCATGACCAAACCACAATGAGTGGAATCGATTGTATCTCTTTGGAGGTATAGATCCGGGTTAGTTGAGATCTGGGTCCACACTCTGCGCACCAAGGCGAATTTATTCATCTTGAGAAGCATTCTGAGGAGAGTAGTTAATTGGCCTGGTTCGAAGCGGATCATCGTCTTGGAGCTGTCGGATTTCTCAGAGGAGGAGAGGTGGCCAAGGATCGGCTGGGGTTTGGTTTTGGCCCAGAACTTGTACGGGTTATCGGCCAGTTGGATCCCGATCCTTTCTTGGATCAGATCGGCCGCATATTGGTGATCAGAGGTGTCGTTCGATTTGAGGAATAGATTGGCGAGTGAGAGGGTCGTTCGAAGGTCGAGAAGTGAAGGCTCCTGATCTTCCTTCTTGAATCGTTCGATCAGTTCTCGTGCTCGTTGCAAGTCTTCCTTGGTACCGGATAATGATCTCGAGATCTGGTAGAGTGTGGAGGAGTCGAGTGTTTTGAGTGAGTTGAAGATCTTGAATGCTTCTGGATGGTATCCATGATGGAGTAGACAGTTGAGGTATGCATTGGTGAGACTGATGATCGAGGCTTGATGATCCTCTGGTGTAGTAGTAGTGTTGTTGTTGTTGTTGTTGTTGATGGATTGTTGTGATTGATTCCAGAGTGATGTGAGTCTTTCCAGGCTGAAGTGTTTCTGGGATCGTTCGGCAGTTGAGATGAGATGGAAGTAGAGATGGAAGAACTTGAGGTCAGGTTTGATCTGTCTTCGTTTGAGTTCTAGGAATAGTTTGTAGGCCAGGTTCTGTCTGTTGAGTTGGATGAGCAGTTTGAATAGTTCTGTCCATACTGAGATGGTTGCTACTCTGATGGATGATGATTTGATGAGTTGGATGATGAGGTCTAGTCGTTGATCTCGTGCTAGTTTCTCTATCCTGATGATCAGTTCTGATGGATTGTTGGCATATCTTAGGTTGATGATCTGTTTCTGAGGCGGTGGTTTGATGGTTACTGGTAAGTTGAGTGTGGGTGGTGGTGGTAGTGGTTTGATTGTTGCTGTTGATATTAGTCTTCTGTTGTTGGTGTTGAGTAGTAGTAGTTTCCTTCTCAAGTTGTTCATCTTTGGTGTTTTTTTTTTTGTTTGTGTTTTTGCTGTGTTTTGAGTGGCAGTGGTGGTTGTGGGTTATCACATGATCTGTGACAGCCAGTGTATCCCGGGGGTTGGAGATCTGTGACAGGTTGCTGTACTATGTATCTTCTGATCGAATCTCCACTTGCCTCCTCACCTGATCACCTCAAATAATTTCAACCCGTCCGATACATACACAATTGGCGGTCAAGTGGTCAACAACAGAGGAGTTGGTTTTTATCTAATGCCCAATGATTATCATCTATCAAAACACTAACCCTTGTTCTTATATTCACAGGATGAACGATCGATCACTACGACCAGTGATCCAACTACTAGGCTCACCAAGCCATCTCATATTCCAACTAGTCAGATTTACCACCCTACCCTACATGATCTATCAAATCATCAACAACCAGAAACAGAAGCAAAAACAACTAGCAGAACAAGCATCTGACGAACACGAACCAGAACCACCAAGAATAATCATCAAAACTCACAAACCTGTCAAACACAACACTCCAAACCAACCAAGACGCTCATTCTCAACCGAGACTCAAGACGACTACAGCACACTCTTCCCTCAACTGATCAAGGAACAACCAAGACTCAACCAACAACTGATCCATCTACTCGATCACTTCCTCAACCTAAACCATACACCCCAACTATCTCAGCAGACAGTCGAACAACTCTTCCTCATCTCACGATCCACCATCCGAGACAGGCTCAACCCACACTCAACTGAGATTCGAACACCCACCTCAACTGCCTGGCAAGCAGAAGCAATGGCCCAAATAGTACAACACTGGAGCAACCAACGCCATCATCATCCAACCAAACCTATCGATCAACTCAATCCATCCAACTCGATCTCCAAGTCACTCAAGATCCATTCCAGAACTCGTGCATTCCTCTCAAACGGACCACCTCGTTGCGATTGCCAACGGTCCAATCTACCACTCAGGACCATCGAGCTCGGTTTAGATCAAGTCGGCACCCTCCAATCCTCCTCCACCCTCGGCCTCTTTGCCTCCAAGCTCAACCATTCACTCTCCCCACTCACCATCCTCAGAATCATCGATCTCGCCCGACAGGCCCAGCGCTGGGATCTCGCCGTCATCTTCCTCGATAGATCACTAGCCGAACCATCGATCCTCAACGATCCAAAGCTATTCAACCGTCGATCGGGCCAAGTCACCGCACTACTCGACTTCCTCCGTCATCATGGTCGTTCAGAGCCCATCCTCGATCCTCTCAGACTATGGTGCATCCACTTTATCTGTCAGAGTATCGAAACTACCATCAATCATCATCCACAACACCAATGGACTCGGATCAATCGAATGAGCTTGGACGTCTTGACTCGCTTTGCATCCATGCCCATCGGCTTCGATCGCCGTCTCAAACAAGATCAACTCAACCGTCAACAACCAATTTATCCGTGCCTCGATCTCAATCGACATCAGATCCTACTAGACGCGATCACTCACTCGACTAACGAACTCGAATTCGCCGTCCTGACTCGCGAACGCTGTGAGCGACTACTCAGCAAGCTCACCCGTCTTACCACTCGTCACTCCCCTCCCCTCGACCCATCATCATCATCAGCAGCAACATCCTCCAATTCACCCCAGGTTCATGCTTGGGCGACACGCAGTGATATCCAGCTTCGACTTCTCGAATATCTCGCCCGACAGGGTACACAGGAGCAGTTCATGAGCCTCCTACAGACCCATGTCGAGCAGCATCCACCGGGACCGAAGCTAGCTCGGATCATCCTACTCGGCGCGCGCAGATTCGACAGTCTGTCGGCCAACCCCGAGCTGATCCGACACACGCTCAGCCAACTGGACCAAGCCGACCAACGGCCGATCATCGACTTCATCCTCCGTCCGCGTCAGTCGCTCGACACCCTCCGGGCCAACCTCGAGATCTGTCTCGCCAGTCTGCCCGTCGAGCGGGAGCCCCGGATGCGGATCTACAGTCATCTCCTCTTCCGTTGCTCCCAACTCGCCTCTCCCTCGCTCGCCCTCAAGCTGTGGGAAACTATCAATCGCGACGAACGTAGACGTAGTCTCATCAGGGTCGGAAGGAGGACTAGAGCCAAACTCAAAGATCTGCTCCGGAATCAAAAGATCCAGCCTCTGGCACTCACCTCCTCCACCGATCTACTCTCACATCAAGTCATCCGCTCGATGATCTATGTGTTCAAAAACTTGACCCATCGTTCTTCTTCTTCTTCTTCCTCTGCTAATCAACTCGCGATCGGCAAACACTATCGGGCCATGTACCAACGATTATCCTTGAAACATTCCCACAAAGCCAAATGGCCATTGTCGCGATCCCAAGCCCGCTCTCATCTGGTCTTGCATTTACTCAAGACTGAGCTCGGCATTCTCAAGGGGAAGGAAATGAGGCACGATGGGAACGGGCTCGTACGGGCCTTGGAAAGCTGTTTTGTGGATCCTTGTGTGGGAGACCTTAATGGGTTTGAAGCGGTGCTCAAGTTCCTCCTACTTTCGAAGAGCACGAACAAGACTCTCGAGAGTGTTCTCTTGCGTCGACTTGTCTATCTCGACTCACTCGAACTCCCGCCTTCCCATCGGTCGTCTTCTTCTTCTCTTTCGAATCGGCCAGAGACTCGAGATCGCGCGAGAAGACAGATCGATAGACTCGCCATCCGGCGTCGGTTCTACAGATTCGTCGTGCTTTGGAGACGTTCCAGGGGCGGATCTCGCCCTGCTCATCGTCCTCATCCTCATCCTGCTCCTTCTACTCCATGCCTTTCTCTTCATCATCATCCCTCTATCCCATCTACGTCGGTTCCTCATTCGACTCCAACCAAGAAAAATCGCCGCGCTTGTAGTCGCTTCTGGGCTTCCTTTGTTGCCCTTCATTCTACCCCTCCTCCCCCTCCTTCTTCATCTTCTTCGTCTTCTCCTTCTTCTTCTTGACTTTAACTTTCTTTGCTTTTGCTCTTCTAAGTTCTTGTTCATGTGTATATATACATTTAAAAAAAATAATCAATTATTTGGTTGAGGATGTTGAGGGACGGCCCCTATCCTTGGACAGACTGACACAGACATAGATCTGACCCTTGAATGGCTTTTGGGGGCTGTGTAAAGGGTCGACTGGCGGGCTTCTACATGTTTGCATCCCATTCTCTTTTTTTTTTTTTTCTTTTGGGAGAGGTTTCTAAAACAATTCGGGTGTGTGTGTTTGTGTATGTGAATGAGCTGCAGAGGTGTGCTGCAACTTGTCTTGGGTTTCATTTATGTTATGGAGATGTGTCAGAGAGAAGATCCCATCAATGGAGGACTTGGGGGAGAGGGGGATTGACTGAGAGGCTTGTGAAAGCTTTGTATAAACAAGAGGTCTTTCCTTTCGCCGAGTATGTAGGTCAACCGGCCTACTTGGAAAGAGGAAAGACCCTCGCGCCAAGTAGGCCGTTGACCCGCTTGGCAAGAGGCCATTGTTCCAGCCACAACTCCCAGGTTGGCAGGCTGTTTTATTAGTCCAGGATGGTTCCAGGACCCTCGAGAGATGGTTCTGGGGACATCCCCCAAAGGTTGGGAATCGTCCTCCCAGCTTTTGGGAGTCGATGTTCCAAGAACCTTTGATGAGATAAGATCTTGGGTTTTGGCAAAAGAAAACAAAAAACAAAATCCTCGTAATATTGGTGCTTATGTGAACTGAGCTTTGATCACAGTAGGCCGGTTCACGTCTGGAGTTCAAGACGACTTGTAACACACTTTAAGATAAAATTTTACGAAATTTGATGAAACATCAAGTTCAGAGGAATTTGCAGAGATTTCTGATAAATTTGTAAAAATTTTAATGATAAAGCACATTAAATGTGCCTCAAAGTTCAGACATGAACTGTCCTAGTGTTAAGTTAGGACTTTATGGGCCTTAACAAAAAAACCCGCATTTTCCGCGTTTTGACGCGCTTTTGCTGCGGCACAGCACACGCGCATTCCGTGTTTAAACCCGCATTTTTAATTAATTTATTTTTGCCATTAATTTTGATTTTTTTTGAAGTTTTTAAAATTGTTTCCTAGGTGAAAAAATGCGTAGAATTTAATGGTGAAGTCCATTTTCCAATAAAATGACTTTTGATTATTAATTTTTTTTCCACTTATTTTTCAATTGGTTGTTTACATACATGTTTCTACCTCATTTTTTATGCTTTTTTGGTATTTTAAATTTATTTCCTAGGTTTCAATGTGTGTAGAATTTAATGGTGTAATCCAAATTTTTTAAAACTCAACGGTTCATTTTTAATACTGAAATTTGACATTTTTTTCACTTAAATTTCTACAGCTTAATTTTCATTATTTTTTGACATTTTAAATTTATTTCCCACACTTTAAGACATGAGTAAAATGATGGTAATAACCATTTTGCATAAAAACCAAAGACTGTTATTGAATACTGTGTTGGACATGTTTTTTTTTATGTTTTTTTGATTGGTTTTTACCGGCTGGATTTTAATCATTTTTCAAAATTTTAAATGCATTTCCTACATTTAAATATGTGTAGAATTGAATGGTGAATTCCAATTTCCATAAAAATACAAGCTTCAATTATAATACGTGAGTGTACCCCGTTTCTTGCATAATTTGTACTGTATACAAATTGTATTTGAATGCAGAATGGATACAGGCCATCAAATTTTGAACCCTTTCAAAGGGGAGGAAAATGAGCTTAAAATTTCCAAAAAATAAGGGTAATTAAGCGTGTAAAGAATTAAATCAAAAAAATACATCAAAGGCATTATTCAAGATACCAGTTTTTGTTTTGATGCAAATTGATTGTTTCCCATCATGTTTACCATGTCTGAAAGTGTAGGAAACAAATTTAAAATGTCAAAAAAATAATGAAAATTAAGCTGTTAAAAATCAATTGAAAAATATGACTAATTACAGTATTCAGAATGAACCATTGAGCTTTATGGAAATTGAATATTACCATTAAATTCTATACACTTTTAAATGTAGGAAAAAAACTTCAAAATTTCAAAAAAGCATAGAAAATAAGGTACACACATGTATGCAAACAATTAAGTGAAAACGTGAAGGATTAATTAAAAAAATGTGTCAAATGCAGCATTCAAGGTATAGTTTTCATTTTGGGGAAAAATGGTTGTTACCATAATTTTTTACATGTCTCAAAGTGCAGGAGAAAATTTTAAAACGTCAAAAAAGAATGAAAATTAACCTGTAGAAATTTAAGTGAAAAAAATGTCAAATTTCAGTATTAAAAATGAACCGTTGAGTTTTGAAAAATTTGGATTACACCATTAAATTCTACACACATTGAAACCTAGGAAATAAATTTAACATTTCAAAAAAGCATAAAAAATGAGGTAGAAACATGTATGTAAACAATTAATTGAAAAATAAGTGGAAAAAAAAATTAATAATCAAAAGTCATTTTATTGGAAAATGGACTTCACCATTAAATTCTACGCACTTTTTCACCTAGGAAACAATTTAAAAAACTTGAAAAAAATTAAAATTAATGGCAAAAATAAATTAATTAAAAATGCGGATTTAAACACGGAATGCGTGTGTGCTGTGCCGCAGCAAAAGCGTGTCAAAACACGGAAAATGCGGGTTTTTTTATTAAGGCCCTATATATATATAGATGTCTTGAAATGTATGATAAATGGTCACACTGCAGGATTAAGGCCTCCAGTGGAGGACTTCCCGTTGGATCTGGGACCCTCGCAGAAGTCGATCTAGACCCAAAAATTCTTGATTCTCACAAGAAATTTGAATTTTGCAGCTCTAAACCAACTCTGGGAGACCCGCAGATGTTGACGGGAAGTCCCCCAGTGGATGACTTCCCGTCGGCATTTACGACCCTCACAGAATTGGATTTACACCATGAAGGGCTTAATTTTTGGCGAAAAAAAATCTTTCTTCAGAAGCCTTGTAGTAAAGGCCCTCATGTGAGCTAGTTGAGGTTGTGATTAGAGTGTTAATTTAGAACTGAGAGAGGTCTAAAAAACACTCTAAACCGCGACGGGAAGTCCTCCAGTGGAGGACTTCCTGTCGGATCTGGGGCCCTTGCAGAAGTCGGTCTAGACCTGAAAATTCTTGATTCTCAAAGAGAAATTTGAATTTTGAGCCTCTAAACCGGCTCTGGGAGACCCGCAGATGTTGACGGGAAGTCCTCCAGTTGTCCATCTTCCTGCATAGATCATGACTTTTCGGCTCTAAATCATCGTTATCTAGATGGGCTCCAGATTTTGAGCCGAAAAGTCATGAGGAATGACTTTTTGGCTCTAAATCATCATTATCTGGATGGGATCCAGATTTTGACGGAACGAGCCACTGGCCAACTTCTCATGAACATATGTGGGTCTCTCTGGCCAGAAGCTACATTTCCCTGAATAAATGGAGATAGTTTGGACATAAATTGACATCTGTCAAAGGTCCCAAATTTGACAACAGTCCTCCACTCTCCCCATCCACCGATTTACTATCCAAAGCTAGAACACCAAAGCCCCAGACCATATACCCCTCCCCTCAGGAAGAAGCCATGACAGTGTGCCACCAAACACACTGAGTTTACTAGGCTATGGGGCTGCATTTGTGTCTGTTAAGGGTGGGTGTATGGGTTTGCACCTAAGCTCTGGGTGTGCCTTTATAAACATCCTTCCAGAAATCTGAAATTTGTGTCACTGGTTTCCTCACTGCTCCAGGGTAGTGTTTTGTCTTCTCTCCCTGTTTCCTCTCTTTTTTTTCTTGTAACAAATATTGTTTCTTCTCTTTACTGTTGATTTCATGAACATCATCCCGATATTCTGAAGCACATTTTCCAGAAATGGCTCATGGCTCACCAGTCCTTTCAATGCAAAAAACTCACTCTGATCCTCGGAATAGATTGATTCTCCTCTGGACAATATATTATATCTCTTGATCCAGGGGAGAATCAATCCATTTGGAGGATCCTTAGCCTGTAGCAGGGAGCCCTGTCAGATACTCAGGTATCTGGGAGTTGGAATGATATCCTGTGCCAGTGGATCTCTGATCCTGAACTAGGTTTTGTAAATTGTTTAATTCAAGATATTGAAGTTCTTTATACATATCTTCCTACCCAACGTTTGCAAAATATCAAGTGAGGAATCCTGTAATGAACACTATTCATTGTAAAACCTGTCTTAGATTATACCTTTGAAAACTATGGGATTTGTTTTGAAATTTGGTGTCACTTGGTTTTTTTGATACATACATACATTTATTGTAACAAATGGCTGATGCACATGAACTGTTTGATTTTGCTTTTTTTGTTTCATGGTTCTAGTTCAGAATGATTTAAATGAAGCAAAATTTGGCCCAGAAGAAGATTGGTATCTACATTGTTTCCAGAATCATCAAATATAAAATTGAATACCCATCATAGCAATTACAAAATATCCTACCAATGAATTTCATTTCAACTTTTTTTTAACAAATTCCCCCAAAAAATCATACCTATAACTTACTGCATTTCAATTGCGGGTTTTGCCCAAAAGAAAATTTACCCTGGATTCATAGAGGGAATCTTCCAGGATATCACCCAATAGTATTTAGTAAGAACTTGATAGAAGTTTGAATCTGGATCATGCAAGATATCCCAATAAATCAAAGCATTTGTACCAGATATTTATCAATACTTAGAATACCTCTAATCAGTAGAAAGTCCCAGGGGTTGCAGTCATTTTTCCTCCTGAAAGGAATGGAACCCCACAATCTCAGAAGGTATCAGTCCCATTTAGGAGTGAATTCTACACATATACAATTTCAGAAAAGTTATCTTTTGATCATTATTTTTGCCATCTGTGTCATTTCTAGAACAAATGCTGGACTCATCCCAAATTATGAAGGGTTGCAATCAGAACCCAAAATTTTTTCCTGCATGGAAGCAAAGGAATATAACATCAAAAGCAGCAACTCTCTGGAGACTTCTCTACCATCTCAATTTCAACAAAGTAACCAAGATCAAAATTCACAGTACATCCATACTTGTCCATATAACCTATCAGAAGTCTTGGAAGACCATGAAAAATTGAAAAAA